CTGGATTTAGTAGTAAACTCTTGCACTTGCAGGATGGACACTTGAAAATGTTGAGCGGGTTTTTGGAATTTTTTATGAAACCTGATGTAGCAGAGACATATCAGAAATTGAGATTGGAACTTGAAGAGCTTATACAGAAGAAAGTAAGTGGAACATCATATTTCGGATGCTGATAGTACCTGTTGTTTTTGTTTACTTTTAGTTGATGATACTATTTTTTCTTACTTTTTTTTACCACAATTATTTAAGATTCCACATGATAATAATACTGTTTTATATTTCTAGAACGATGTATTTTGAGTGAGTATCTTTTATGAATTTTTAGTTTTTAAAATGTTATTAAAATCTTAATCAAATTTTAGAATCAGTAAAAATGGCTAAATTTTGATTGATGTTATTTGAATATAGAAAATATAAAAACGAAGCCACATAACACATGAAATGTTACTAGACGACCCCAAGTGCTCTACTCATTGATTTGGTCAATGTGCAGCTACTAAATCCAAAGACGATGGACTTGCACTCCCACCATGAGCTCCTATCTGCTGTACGTTTGCTTATTTCAGAAGACCAGTGTGAAGGTCGATTTGTTTTTGGCCGCCAGATCCTTAAGCAGCCCCCCAAGGCATCTACTCTGGCAGCACCACCACCACCAACTTCTGTTTCAAGAACTGAAAGCGGACCTGGTGGTGATAATTCCAAGAGTCAACTCCAGACTTTACTCACGAGGGCTGGGTATGCTGCACCCACTTACAAGACTAAGCAACTGAAGAATAATCAATTTCGAGCAACCGTGGAATTTAACGGAGTGCAAATTATGGGACAACCTTGTACCAACAAAAAGAACGCAGAAAAGGATGCTGCAGCTGAGGCTCTTGAGTGGTTGATGGGTGGAAGTAAGACAGGGCACGACTATGTCAACCAAATGTCCATGATGCTAAAAAGGAGCAAGAAGGATCATAACTGAGCCAGCACAGCCACCTTTTTACTGGAAGGAATTTTGAGAACGCAGTAAAAGCACAGCAAAACTGATGAAGCTCAGGTATTACTACCCTTGACCTTGAGAATTGAAGCTACTTGGGAAACAAAAACTGAAAAAAATGGCAAAGTCTGTTATTCTTGCTACAGCAATATTATATTACCTAGGTAATTTTCTGCTTGGTAACAGATTTGGAGGTGCATGAGGGACATCAAATGTGGTTCATGAAAATAAAAGAGCATCCGCTTCCTAGGCTGGAATTTGGACCACAGACTTGAGAGGATTGAAGGCAAGGAGTTGAATAATGGGGGGACCAAAAATGTCACGTTCGCAAAGGAGATGGGGAAAGTGATGATGCACTGCAAGGTTCGGTTCAGGAAATTACATGTGATTATTTTTTGTACAGAAATTTATTTCAACCCCAATCACATACTTGTAAAATATCATTTTTTTGGGGGGGTGCAAAAAGAATAGTAGGCCTGTAAAATTGCGAAGTGAAATATTTGGTTTCGAAATTGGTTGACAGTAAACAATGTCTAGTCCTCAAAAACAACAGCCATGTCAGAGGAAGGAGGGGTGCAAGATGCAACAGTACAGCAGCACAGTCTGCATCTTTCCCTGACTTCTTTTTAATGAATGCTGGGTCCTTGCACAGTTTGTATGTATCTTTCCCTATCCCCCTTTTTTAAGATGTTGGGTCCTTGCACTTCTATGAAACAGCAAAGAAGCCCCCAAAGAATGGAAAATTTTCTGTGCCATGTCAAAATCATTGATACCAAATTGTGATGGGCTGAGTTTTTTAGTTCTGATCCCCTGTCTGAATCTGAAAATGGGTTAATGGTAAATCTCCTGGCCCAGCAGATATTCAGATCACACAGTCACAGACCATATTGTATAATGAGAAGATTGATCTGACCAATTCTCCAATCCCCAGAGAATTGTAGCTGTACCAACTGTAAACCATTCCACTGGGAAGGTACAATTTAAATTTGAAAGTAGTGCTTGTTTCTTTTCTTTTTTTCCAGGGAATGCAACAGCGATAGTGGTGTAGGAAAAAATAGGGTATCAGATGAGACAATGGCAGAAGAAGACAGGCTGTGAATGTCACTTTCTGATACCTTAAAAACACAAAATGTTTTGAAAGGCTTGGACAGTTGTGCGCATTGAATGGCAGAAAGTGAGGCCAGAGAGTTATTGGAAATTAATTATTTGTCTCATAGTTCTCAGAAATTCTTCAGATATCAATGGTCTTAGTCTACAATTCAATTCTTAATTTCTCCCCATTTGTGACCTCTGTGACCCTCCATCCCATGTCCTTTCATATCGTGCTCTGGTTGCCTTGTCGGCCCATCATCCTTTTTTTTTTTTTTTAAATCCCATCTCTCTCTCTAATAATAACTCATATTTTCTTTATCAAAAAGGAAAAAGAGATCTTACAGATAATATTACCATTCCCTAACTATTACAGTATCAATTTAAATTTATTGTTATATATTTTCAACTAACAAGTTATTGTTATATATTTTCAACTAACAAGTTGGAAGTTTGAATTCTCACCTCCACATGTTCAACTCAACAAAAAAAATATATATATTGTCGTTGTAAAAGCCTTATTCCTAAGTTAATATAAATTCGAGGGAAAATATAGATTTCAAAGATGTAAAAGCTTTAGGCCAAATGATTCAAATTTTCAAAATAGAAAAGGACATGGAATCTTGACAACATAAAAGGGAAGCATTTTTTAAAATCTCATAAACGTTCAACAACTAGATTGACTATTTAAATGGCTGTGGATCTCTTGACAATTTTTTAAAAGGAAACAAAACATTAAAAAATAAAAAAGAAAAGAAAGACATAGGGGTTGTTTTTGTGTTCATTTATTGGGGGAAGAAGAAAAAATTTGTGTCAATGCTGTGAAAGCACAGATTGTGTTCATTCATTATCTTATCCGAAATAACTTAAAAACATTTGATTGCAACTGCTTGGTCGGTCAGCATAAGCACTATATTGGCTAACACAATGGACCACTCTTCTTTAATATCTTTCCCCCCATTTTGCAGATCTGATCTCAACCAGCTATGTACAGCTGCTTGTTCATATCCAAAATGCTAAAAAAAAAAGTGATCCATTGTACGTTGTAATCCCCGATGCGATATTAGTATCAGGTTGTAGGTTTGAATTCTCTCTTCTTGTTTATAATATAGTTCAACGGAAAAAAGTTTATATTGTGAATTTCGTATTCTTTTGTAATAGTCGTTGCATTAAAATGTGAAAAAAGCATAATATTTGATGTTTAAGGTGTCATTTGATAACCATTTCGTTTTAGTTTTCTGTTTTTAAAAATTATACTTGTTTATGTACAATTTCATCAGTGAGTTTTTCACGAAATATATTTGAATTCTTAGTCAAATTTAAAAAATAGAAACAAGTTTTTGAAAACTATACTTAAGAGAGAGAAAAAAAAACGTTACATAAAGCAGAATGAATAGGGGAGAGTTAAATTAAGAAAGAGAGAGAGAAAAAAAGTGTAAGATATTCTCCCAGCTGGATTGATGTAGCAACCAATTAATTATGTGACCATGTCTTGATTGATTATTAAGGGCAGTGAGGCCTACACAATATTTTGCACGTACGTTTGTTTGGACACATTGCATATTCCTCATCAAACAAGTGTCTTTAATTAGGCTCCTTTTATGTGCCATTTGGGTCCCATTCCCAACCCTAATTTCACTATTCCTTTCAACTTCTTACTCTATAATTCAATTTATTATATATTATATTTTTTATCAATCAATGTTATTTAACTTAATCTCATTTATGATGATTTTTGTCTAACCTTCAAATCTCCTGATTTTCTTTGCTAATTTAAGTATAGTTCAGTGGGTAAGATACTAATTATATTATTTGAAGTCCGAAAGTACAATCTTCCACATCTATGTTGTACTAAAAAAACTACTTTACGTATGATCAACTCTTTTAAAAAATAAGAAGCAACTCCTTGATCAACTAAGGAATTTAAATTTTTCTTACCAATTAAAGGAAATTTTATTAAAATAGGAAGAGATTTCAATAATTTTTTATAAGTGGAGAATTAAACTAGAGACCTTTAATTATTATTATTCTTTTTTTAAGAATCAAGGAAAAGACACCTATTTAAAAATTTATACATATAAAAAATAGAAAACAAAGGTCCAACCTTATATTTTCTAAATGTGGACAAAGTGACATAATTGCATGACTTATTTAATATTCTTGATATCGCCCAATTATATTTTACACTTGTTTTGATATCAAAGAATAAAGTAATGGTAATTCTTTTAAAGTGTTATCATAGAAATTAAATTTCAATCTTATTATTTGGAGATATATTTCTAAATTAATTGAAATATGTAATTATTTTGTTATATTATTATATTTTCCCGTATAAAAATAAACAATGTATCAATTATGAATTAAATAATCGAAATAGAAGAAATAAGGTTAAATTACCAATTTAGTTCTTAAATTTTTAATTGTCTGTCTAATATATTCTTAAATCTAATAAGTCGGGTTAAAGTTCACGTACTCATTTGGTACAATAAAATAAAAAAGTTTAAAAATCTATTAAATACTTTTTTAAAAAAAATTATATACTTTTATCATTTAATTTGGACGAGTACAACAAACAATCCTTTTGTAGTGGTTGATAGCTCTACTAAGCGAAGAACTGCTCACTGTCTTTTCTTCTCGAGTCACATGTGTAATAGTTTAAGAGAAGAGAAGCAAGCTACTTTCACCTACCTATCTCATGTCTATATGCAGCAACAGTCATGTATCCATATGATTAGCAAAAGTCAGACATTCGAGAGAATTCAAATTTCCACCCCATATATTAAAAGGAAAAAAAATAATTATAATTTAATAAGAAAAGAAGCAAGAAAAATAAACGAAGCGGGTACTGGGCTGAAACATACGCGTCCTTTCAGGAAGAGCCTAAAAACTGAAAATGGCATAACAAATTAAATAACAGCTCTTCTTTTTTCTTTTTTCTTTTTATTTTTCTTAATTTCCCTTCACTCTCTCTCATAACTATTTATAAATTCCAATTAAAAAAAAAGAAAAAAAGAAAACCTTCAAATCTAGCTTTGACCGTCGTCCGCCCGCACGATCTCTGATTCGCTTTGTAAAATTCAACTTCGTCTTCTTCTTTCTTCCTTCATCCGCCATTTTCGCATTTTCAGTCTCTTTCAGCTCTCTCACAGACACCCATTACTCTCTCACTCACTCACTCACTGCTATCACAATTTCATGCAATTTCTCTTCCCTTTCTCTTTACTCTCATTACTGCTCTTCTTCTACGCTCTCTATTGCCCTCTATTCCTGATTTACAGCTTCAGATCCTTTTGTTCTCAATCCCACAGCTGGGCCGCCGTTTGTCGCCCCCCAATTCCTCTTTATGCGTGAATAACCCTTCTCTAGTCTCTACTACCGATACCCACAAGAGGAGTGTATCAGTGTTCCTTTTTCTACGCCTCGTTTCTCGCTTTGATCTTCTCGGCATCATTCCCCTGTTTCGTGGGATGTTTTTGGGTTGGTGTTTATGATAATTAATATCTCTATTTATGCGTCGTCGTCGCCTTCATTCACTTTGTGATTCTTTATTCGCGCTGCGCTTCTGAGTACGTACGTCTTTTTCTGACTTGGAGTTGTTTTTAAGCTTCTAGGGGAACTAATTTGGCTTTGTTGGTTTTGATTCTTCATTGTTACTTTGCTTTGGAGTCTGGTCTGAGTTTTCGTCTATTTCGTTTGATCTCTGATATCATTTGCATTTATTCAAAATGGAATACTCTTTGAACGCCGTCCTAGTGGTAAATAGTAGGTTGATAATCATGCCTCTGTTGGAAGGTTCAAGTTCAAAGTGGCTCTTTAAATCATATGGGTTCATGATGGTAACTTTTTTGATTCGTGATTAATCGCTGTATTTAATTATTATTCTTTTAGCATCATACTTGCTTTTCAATAGTGTTGGCTTTTTTCTTTCCCCCAAAGTTGGGTCTACTTTAGTTATGCTCTTATTACTAAAGTGAAGGAAATTTTTTATTGATTTATTAATTTCAGATGGATGCTAAAGTGGGTTCTAGACTTGGTATTTTGGATTATTTATTTTCAAGAAGTAGACACTGTCCTAATAGACAGAGAGATTGCTGCTTACGGGTTCTTCTTCTAACTTCTTGGTCATAGCTTGCCTCGAGTGGCATAATAGTTTTGAGTAATCTAGAGTTAAATTAACTTCTGCTACATGGCCATGAAGAAGCTACTGGTTGATCGCCATCAGAGTGTTTTTACGGCCTCTGTTGGGAAGAAATCAAATATTGGTGCTCTCTGTCATATTGCAATTTTTAGTAAGCTTCTCTTGACCAAGTCTAATTGACGTCGACAATTTATTCTTCTCTGGTGGGGTATGCAGGTAGCTAGCCGCTATTTCTATATGAGTATTACTTTAGGCCTTAAATGATTGGAGTGCATAGAGAGTCTCTTTGACTCTAAAGTCTACACTGGATGGTTTCATTAGAAATGGCGATTGACGTCAATGTCAATAATGGGGCATATTGTAGGGTCGATTCCTTATGTTTGGCAAAGGGGATAGATCTCACATGCCTCAATGGAATGTTTTCTTAATCACTTTACCTAACGGGCCTTTTGTGTTCCCATACTTTTTGACCGAAGTATGTTTATCTCACTTGTTGCACGCTGTGCTGGATTTTTTCAACGGGACTATTTATAACTCCATTGCATTGGTATGAAAGAAACTTCTTGATAGCTCGTTTGAGGATTTGATTTTGTATGTTTCCCGAGTGGGAATTTTATCATTGCATTTATTTTCTTATGCATGTCAATGTTTCACTACATGCGTGGTTCAGAATGTGATAAGGATTGTTGGTTACCTTGTTATTGTGCCTGACGTTTGTAGCGTCTTTGCTCTCTGTGTCATTCCACAGCGTTATGTTTTCTTTCCTTTTTTTCTCCCTTTCTGTTGCTACTGCATCTTTTGAGGGATTTGTGTAAGAGAAATATTTCATTTCTTATTATCATTTCAGGAATACTAATTTGGTTATTGTGAGATTGACCCTGCAAGTCTTTTTTTTTAAATTTGGGGAGAGTTCCCCCTTGATTGAGATCGACCTCAAGAGCTTTGATCTGATTGTCAACTTGTCATCCCTTTCTAATCTTCTTCGACTCTTGTGTGTTCAACCATGATCACACACCATGATTTCATATTCCTCATAATGTGCTGTTCTATATAAATATGTATGTTAATTGAATTGTGTTAGCTCTATTGATTCTCATGCTTTGAATTAGTTGACTACGTGCCAGTGGCTCTTTTCTGCATAATTTCTTCAACTTTTTGGGATTCACCATGAGTGTATAGCTTCAAGAATTGTAGCAGTGTCTTTTATGCATACCAATGGTGTGTCACTATGTTTTGCAGTAGGCAAATTGGACCTTTTCAATTCAATCTATGGAACTTATTGGTCCAAGGAGAGTGAATAAAAAGAATCACCTAATTCGAGAGAATGGTGATTGTCTTTTATCAAATATAGGTGATCTTGATCCGTGGACTGCATGGGCTTATAAACCACGTACTGTTTCCTTGTTGCTTGTTGGCGCCGGCTTTCTTATGTGAGTGTTCTGTTCTCTGATTATAACTTTGTAATTCCGACTTGACAAATAATTTTATAATGACTACTAAGTTCATTTTCTTGAATGGTGAAGTATGCTATTGTTTTTTGAAAAATGAAAGTTCACGTTTTTGTTGCCAATGGTTTACTGTTTGATAGACGATTGAGTTGCTCTTATTTCTATTCTCAATTACGTGGAAACCACTTGTTCTCGCATTTTGTTTTTTCATAATCTTTGGCTAAAGTAATTCTATTATTTGTGGTCTTTTTTTATTTTTTATTTTTTTATCACCTATCCTCTTCATCACTTTCAGCACCATGGTCTTCGACATTTATAGTTTTGGGTTGGATTCTAACACTTTGGATAGGGAGAATAAAGGGCGGGCATTAGAGACTCTATTTCCTCATGCATGGTAATATTCAGTCTTGGATGATATTGTATCCTTCTTCAATTATTATTATTATTTTTTATAATTTGAAAGAATTCCTTCTATTTGCATTTTTTAATGAATGTTTTTGCATGAACTATGTGCAGTTGTGAATTTATTTTGTTGTTTGGATGTGTTTATCAGCTGGGCCAGTGGAGCTCTAGATCCTGAATGCACTGCATCAAGTGATCTTGTTGCATCTGTTAAAAGGTCTGCTCCAAAATGTAAATATTTCTCCTTCAAGAACATGTAATTGTTTTTTTCCTCTTAGAATTCTTTTGTTCATGCTGCTTCTCATAGGGGTGTGTGGGCAATGATCGCCGTTTTCCTTGCATATTGCTTGCTTCAAGCCCCTTCTACGTAAGTTAAAATTTCAATTTTTTCATTACTCGGTTGCTTACAGTTTCCTGGTTGTTTGACTTTTATCATACATTCCCAATTGTGGAGACTTTATCGATATGATTTTTAGAATGACTAGTGATGTAACACATGATCCTGATGTGGCCCATCATTATATAAAGTTATATTTTTTCTGATCGATGAAGTTACTTTCTTTTGCCACGTGTTTCCTTTAATCTTTCGGAGTGCTCACATCAAGATTTTTGTAACTAGGTTTGATTTATTAAGACTGGAGTGCCTTATAAAACTTCCTTGACACTGAGAGGCATATCTTTTCCTTTGGTCTTGTTCAATCAGTTTTTGTTTCTTATTGAAATAAATAAAATATATATTCTGAGGACATCGTTCATCTTTTTTTCTTTCTAATTCGAGTTTTATATTACAACATGGTTCATTTGGGGGATTGAATTTTGATGACATGAGTCTGAATATTTCATCAATCATCATAATATGGTTCTTTTACAAATATTTATCAATTATCTTGCAGGATTCTTATTAGGCCACATCCAGCAGTATGGCGCCTAGTTCACGGCTTGGCTGTCATTTATCTAGTAGCACTCACATTTTTACTTTTCCAGGTTAGGCCTCTTTCCTGAATTCATCCTGGGATTCAATTGTTTAAGCGCTCATGATCTATGTTTTTTTTTTTTTTGGTTATAAACTCTTGGATTGTTCATATATTTAATCTAATTCCGTGATAAAACCATTTAGCTGTTCTCATGGTACTGACCATTCAAAATATAGTGCAAGCTTCGACAACACAGCTTTCTTTTCTTTACAGTATTTGCTAATCCGCAAATCTATTTTCAGAAGCGTGACGATGCTCGGGAATTCATGAAATTTCTCCATCCTGATCTAGGCTTTGGTAATAATTTTATGCTCTTAAATAAACTCATGAAAAAAGTTAGATAAAATTTATGGACGTTCGTCTTATAGTATCCACTTTTCAAGTGCGTGTTCTAAATCTTTATTTATTTTGATTCTTGATTTAGAGCTTCCTGAGAGATCATATGGTACTGATTGTCGTATACTTGTTCCTGAAAATCCCACAAGCAGATTTAAGAATGTCTATGTATGACTTCTTCTTTTACAATTTCAATGGCTTGCCTGTATTATTATTTTTTTTATATGATTTCAAGGTGCTACATCTTTTCTGATTTTTTTTGCTAATCAGGAAACATTGTTTGATGAATTTGTTCCTGCTCACATTATCGGATGGTGGGGTAAGGCTATATTAATCCGTAACCAGCCTCTTCTCTGGGTACTATCAATTGGGTTTGAGTTAATGGAGGTAGTACTTTTTTCTTCTTCTTCTTCTGTACTGCTCCAGCAGCATGTGCAGTGCGCAAGGCCCCATTATCAAGCTACTGAGGCTATATTAATTTGTTCTTAACGTTTCAAAAGTTTTAACTTTACCTAGACTTCAATGATGGAATAATGATTTAGCATTTAAAAAAAGGTTCCTTTTTGAAGGTTAAATATCTACCTTACCTTACTCGATTAAAAACTCAACCATATTTGAAAGTTAGAAAAAAGTTTAAAAGAAAAAGGAAAAGGACCTACTAGTCCAATTACTAAAAGAAAAGAAGGGAGAGATTGCAAATTTATTTGTAGAATTATCAATACTTAGAGCATCACGAAAGGAGAGAGGGTTAAAAAAGCAAATAAAAGAACTGAGTTGTATAAATGCTGAAAGGAGCACTGCACGAATTGTGGAAGGGAGAGAATTGCATGAATGGAGAAAATGGTAGGGTTGTACAAAGAAGAAAAGGGTGTGATCTGTAGTGGTCCTATGATAATACCTAATTAAGTATGTTTCTATTTGGGTATTATCCATTCAATTTTTCTATTATGTTAGGACATGAAGTAGATATTTCATATTTAAAAAATATAAGCTTATAGAAAACAATATTTTTTAAATGTTATATTATTATTAATTTCAAAATGGTGTTATTTAGTAAACATTTGAGGTTAAAGTTGAAACTTTTAAAATAATATGAAAGAAATTGCAAAATGGTATATACTACAAGTATCAAATGATATATTAAGCTTTCTTTACTTTTCTGTTCCATTTCCATTTTTTTTATATTAAGTTGCCGTGTAATCTTAATTTTCTTTCATTTATGTCTAGCTTACCTTCCGCCATATGCTACCCAACTTCAACGAGTGCTGGTGGGACAGTATTATTCTTGACATTTTTATTTGCAATTGGTTTGGTGAGTTCCTCACTCCTAAAAACAAAAAAATGAATATACTTAAAATGGAAAGTAACTTTCTTGCCCACATATATATATGGTATCAATTGTCATGTACTCTTTTTACCTATAATTCTATAACCAAGGATTATCCCTGCTGGACCTTATGTTTGTTGAGAGTGTTGAACAAACCCCTGGCTGATGGAGACCAGGAGTAACCCCCATTTATGGAAGGTTGTCAGAGAAAACTTAATGCTTCATTTGACCATCTAGCTATGATATGGATGTGGTTTTATTTATAGGAAACATAGGTTATAAAAAGAACGTAATGGCCTTGTAGAGTCCTATTATTACGTTCAGAAAAAAGTAACTTTCTTAATGTTATCCCAAACTTCTAGTAGGTTTACTGTTGAACTGACTATGACTAGCATACACTTATCCAATTTAATGACCAGTTGAAGGATATTTCATGTACATTATTGTGCCATTAAAAACAAAATTTGGATTGGTGGTTTAGACAATTGATGTTAGGCAATTCAACTTGAAGTTTTCCAGAGTGCATTTGTTATTGTCCATATTAATTCTTCTTAGTTTTTAGTTCTCTCTTCTGTACCAATTTGTCACCTGTTTTCCTAGTGCATGGTGAGTATATGGTAAACCATACTCCACGAGTCCAACTAGCCCATGACACGGGAAAGTATATTAAGGGATTCCTAGTAGTAGTTCAGGTTGCAAACCGTGTATTTAATACGGCTGCACTTGATCAACCAGATGCTGTATGCAAATGTGTCTCCTTATATACGGTTCTATGTAGTACACTTAATGCTAATATGGGAATATTCCAAGTTACTTGTTATGTTATCAGACCCCAGAGCAATAATTTTAGTATACTTGTGATGATGGGTTTCCATTGTCTGAAGAATTTTTAGCCACTATGAAGTAGGTATTTGATGGGTTTATACAAATTCCAATTCCATAAATTCTATGATTGTATGGTGTGACCTTGGACTACAAGGTGAAAGAATGGACGTGCTAAATCTGCTGTTAGTTTGTGGTTTAGTTGAAGGCCCTCATTTGTGTTGCTTTGCAGGAATATGGGCTGGAATGCGTACTGTCAGATACTTCGATGGGAAAACATACAAGTGGGTTGGTCTAAGTCGACAGCCTAATATTATTGGAAAAGTAAGTCTTGCATTAATTTCCTTTCAAGAAAAGTGTTCCATTTAGTACTATTAATGATAGGTAACCCTCTCCTCAACTCTGACTAATGATTAACTCGAGTGATCATCGAGAAATTTTAATATAGAAGCCATAATTCTAGATGTAGATGGTTGGGGAGAAGCAGTTATCCTATGAAGTATTGCCGTTCTGTATGTGTAATTACTCCTTAGATTAGATCTCGCTTGATTGGAATCCAACCTTTTAGTTTGGTTCCTGTTGTTGGGCATCTTTTTGTATGCCCTCTTGTATTTTTTTCATTTGTCTTAATGAATGCTCAGTTTTTTCATTCAAAAAAGATATATCCTATGAAATATTTCAAGAAAGGGAAACTCTGGGAACATCAACCATGAGGTGACGACAAGTTTTATGTGGCAAACTTGTTTGGCTCTTCTGATACGTTAATTTTCCATTTTTAGGAATGCACATTTCCAGATATATTCAACTGTCTTTAATATAAGCAAGAAATGTACTCTCTCCATTGTTTTTTATGGCTGTTGCTGGGTTGAGGGGAAGTACTAAGTTTGGTTTCTTCTTGAAATACGTCGTGAATGTCTTGTCTTACACTAAAAGGCTTTCAGAACGGCCTAATAGCGCGTAGTCTTATTTCCAGGTGAAACGGACCTTGGGACAGTTTACTCCAGCACAGTGGGATAAAGATGAGTGGCATCCCTTACTTGGTCCATGGCGTTTCATACAAGTTCTTGCTCTTTGTATTGTCTTCTTGACCGTGGAGCTTAACACATTCTTTTTGAAGTACTGTCTGTGGGTTCCTCCCAGAAACCCTGTAATAGTTTACAGATTGGTTTTATGGTGGCTCATCGCCATACCAACAATTCGCGAGTACAACGTTTACCTTCAAGACAGGTTTTCTCTCCTTCACTCTCTATATTTGTCTGGAATTTATCAATCTTTGAATATATAACCATTGAAGGATACTTTAAATAAGACCTGATGCAAATTTTTTCATATATGACTCATATTCCAGGAAACCTGTAAAAAAAATTGGAGCATTTTGTTGGCTCTCCCTGGCCATTTGCGTTATTGAGCTTCTGATTTGTGTCAAGTTTGGACATGGTTTGCTCCTCGATTCTTAATTTTTTTACATTATTTTCAATTTCATTTTACTGGTAGTTTGTATTTTTCTCCTTAAACTTAGTGCTTATCAGTAGATAAGTAAACCGCTTCTAATTACCACCATTAAAAAATTGTTTGCAAAGGAGGTGAATGCATAAAAAAAAGTGAAAAAATAAGATAAATAGTCGTAAAATTTTTAGTGGTAGTCGTAAGGAGAAAGATGCCTACTTACCAATAAACACCTAAATTTTGTCCCTTGTTAATTGATACTAATACTTCATTTTGTCTTGTTTTTATCACAGGCCTATATCCAAAGCCAATGCCACTTTGGCTGGTGCGCTTTTGGATATCTGTTGGATTCTCCCTTGTATTATTCCTGCTTATTTGGACCTGGCAACTTCACCAATGTGTGAGGAAAAAGTGGCAATAATTTTTGTTCATTTCTTCATTTATTCATAGGAAAAAAGAGAGATTTTTTTTTTTTTTGGTTTTTTTTTAATCATGGGACTCCCGTTCATAATGTAAGATTTTTAATGTATTTTGTAGATAGCATCAGGTTTTCCATTAGAGACTACAAAATCTTCGGGAGATTTTTCTTTGGGGAGAGAAGAATGTATTGATTATCCACCAAAATGGTGTAATATCTTTTTACTTTTTATACTTTTTTTATTGTTCAACTCTTATAAAAAATTTAATTCATGGGCATTCCATTGCAAACATTGGGGTAAAAAAATTAAATTTTCTATGGCAATGGATAAATGGAAAATAAAAATCTTGAAATTGGTAAGACATGTTAAATGGTAAATCTAAGATTAGTTGGTGTAACATTTTAAAATTAATTAATATAGATATCTTCCGTTCTTCCCTTTGAATTCAATACATTTCAACAAAATTAGATAAAAACACCTACTCGAATAAAAAAAATTATATAACCATATGATAATATATAAATTCTAGATTTAAGACATAAAAGTTCAATCAACTATTAAATGTTTGCCTCTGAAAGTTTGAATCCAGTTTCAAAATGCAACATTTCACATATTACATATATGAATTGAAATCAATTAGCTTTGTTTGAAAAAAAAAATCTCAATCAGCTAATTAAGAATAGCTACCCCTATTAAGAGGGTATGTATAGGGAGGAGAATTTTTACAGAATGTGAGAGCGAGAGAGCATATTACAGAAACTAAAACTTTAAACTAAGGACAGAAGAAATGAACCTGAGAATCCAAACAATGGTTTGAAGGGGCAACCTGCTGCATGATTAACAAAGTTGGGGGGCAAAACTGGCCTTTTTTTTCCTTTTTTTTTATTATCCAGGAGTCAGCGGCCCTTTGGCCTTTATGCCTCTATGTGCATTGTCCCCATACCCATACATACGCAAAGAGTAGACCTCAAGGTTATTCCTTTTGAAGCCCCAAGCCACCCAAGCTATCCCTTTTAAGGACAAAACCGCCCATGTTTTAAGAGAGGAGCTACCAAAAACAATATTATCAATCAACTTATCCATCTATCTTGTTCGCTTGAATGTGAATAATGAGCAGCTGGTCTTGTAAGTGCTATACAAGAAGGGAGGCAGTCATATCAGACTCATGTCCAAGTTTGGCTTCACCATTTTCAGTCAGCAGTGACCAACAATCAAATTAGCCACCAGAATCACAAAACAATGGCATACAAATATGTTCTCTTTTTGGAAACAATAAAAAGCATACAAAATTCTTCTTCTGACTTGTGAGAGAAAATACAAAGCTCATCTAATATAAAGAGGCTTCATCTCAACCTTTTTAGTTGTCTCATTAGCCATGAAAAAAAATCAACTTCTATAACACTATGCGTACCTCCAAGAAATGTTTCACGCCCCATTCTCTACATTGTTCAACTCATTCTTTACTTCAAGATGCTGTAAGGAAATCCTTACAAGGAACTGATATTCAAAGAGGAGAAGAGCCCCAGGGCTTAACAAAAGTCTCCCCAAGCCACTTAGAGAGGGCTGGTTCTCTCCTATCCGAACAAAACATATCCTTAAACAAAAGATCCCGAACGCAAATAAGCAACAAACTAACTAACTTGAGGGGGGTGTATTCACCTCTTTACCCCTCCTAATATAAGTATTCACTATTGGGGGTCTTACAAATGCCAAAATGTGGACGGGAATGTTTTAGCAGTAGCCCAGTTAGAATCTAAAAGGAAGTCATTTCAAGTGTCGCTATTTTTTTCTTTAAAAAGCATACTTTTAGCCTAAGAGATATAAAAAATGATTCTATTTGATCTCTATGTTTTAAGAAATAACATTTTAACACATGAGATTATGAAAGCTTTCCACCATACTAGGGGCAGTTGTGCTATTGCAGGCACTCAATACATAGTTGAGTACTTTAGCTTTGGGGTGTGTTCGGCTGGGGCATCTACAGCAATGGCAACTGCAAAGCCGTGCTAAGGTGAGGTGAGAGAGTCCAGACCAAAGTACAAGGCAATTTATGGCTATGGCTATGGGCCTATGGATATGGCCATGATGAATTTCTAATAGCATGCTGCTATGGAGAATTTATGGCTGGCCGTGGCCATGATGAATTTCTAATATCATACCGTGTTATTTTAAAAAATAAAATTAAAATATCCACCAAAGATAACCCAAGTGAGATAATGTCATTTACATGCTACCTTATAGTCTATAGAGATCATCTAAAAGATCATTTCTAAACCTTGGTATCCATATCGATTACATTTTGGAAGTTAGGATTTGGTCACTATCTCGCTTATAGTCCTAGTGTTTTAAAAATAGGCTCATTTACTTACAATCTCTTCGTCCTGTGATCTACTTTTATAAAATACTTTTAAGAGTCATAACCAAATTTAAAAACTAGGAGTAGTTTCGAAACATTTTCGCATTTTTTAAATTTGGCCAAAAACTAAAAATCAATTTTTTTAAAATGTAAAAACAAAGAAATTGTAGTGAACAAACATTTTTTTAAAATAAAATGATCCATTATTAAACAAGGTTAAATAAACCATTTCTAAACATCAAGGACAGAAGCACACTTTTCTTTATTATTACCTCATGGTAATGACCATTTCTATCATACACAAGAAGATACAAGTTGATGACCCCCCCTCCCCTCTGCAGTATTTAAAAGGAATTGATATAACGCTTCAGTAAAATTTACTGAAAAAATGAAGTACAATTTGAATCAAATGTATACCTGATGCAGTGAAGATAAAATCTTCATAAAATATCTCATGGTATGAACAGTGTTTTGTCCAATCCAACACAAACTGATTTCAGCTTAACTCTGTTGCAGAAAGTAATGGATCAGAAAAGGAATTATGAACTGCATCCTCAATCCATAAAGCTTCCAACCCACCAATTAGCATTTATATCCTGTAGAGCAGACAATATTAATACAGAAATGAATTTACTAATAAAATTGGATCGATGTTGTGAAAATACAAGTCCTGGAGGAGAGAATTCTTACTTAATGAATCATTTGAGGTTAATTCTTTCTACAAAATTTCAAGAGGTTGACCATCGCTTGATAGGATAAATATACAATAGATACATCAGTCTCTAACTTGAGAATTCAAAGCCTTCACCATCACTTGGCATTTACATTATCTTCAACACCTTGAGTCAAACTCTCTACACACAGTGCTGCATGCACTTTATAATCTGTGTGTAGATTCTTCAGAAGCACACTATGTGTAAAAGAATCAGGTTGAATTTCCCTATCTAGCATTTCTCTGTACAATCTTAGAGCCTCTTCCCAATAATCTATGTTGCAGTTCTCATTTATTAAAATGGTATAACTAAACTTATTCGGAAGAATTCCTTTCTCTTCCATCTCATCAAAATACTTATAAGCCTCGTCCATTCTCCTTGCCTTGCAAAGACCATTAATTATTGCATTGAATGTAATTACGTTTGCTGGAACACCCTTCTCCAGCATTTTTGAGAAGTACATAAATGCTAAATCCAGCATTCCCTTAGCTGCGTGTGCATGAATGAGTACTGTATATGTTACTACAGAAGGGGCTAACCCCTTGCTGAGCATTTCATTGAAAACCTCTCTGGCTTTCCTCAAATGCCCGTTTTTCATGAAAGCATTAATGATACTGGTATACGTCACATGATCTGGAACAAGACCATCATGAACCATGTTCTCTAAAAGATCACAAGCTTCTTCAAGATTGCCTTGTTCGCAAAGTCCATGCACAAAAACATTGTAAGTGATGACATCTGGAGGGAAGCCCTCTGCCAACATTTCTTCTCGCATGCTATATGCTACCGATGTATCACCGAGCTTCATTTCTCCTACTATTCGAGTAATATATGCAAAACGATCAGGCTTTAACCCTTTGCACAACATCTCATCGAAGAACCCTCTAGCCATTGATAAATTACCCATCTTGCAAGACCCATTAACCAGCATTGTATACGTAAAGATGTCAGGGAATAACCCTTGATCGATCATTTCCTTTTTCAACTGCAAAGCAACATCCAAGTAACCCAACCTACAAAGACCATATATAAGTGTATTATATGTTACCACCGTGGGTTTGAGATCCCTGCATTTCAATTCATCAAACAATAGAAAAGCCTCACTTATATTCCCAGACCTACAGTAACCATACAGTAAGGTGTTGAACGAAACTATGTCTGGCATAAAATTGCTCTTTAGCATATCAGAAAACCGCCTAGCATCTTTGACTTGTCCCCACTTACAAAGGCCATACATCAGAGTATTATAAGTTGACAAAGTAGGGAAAGCTTTTCTATTCGCCATTTCTTCCACAAGATTTAATGCTTCAACAAACAATCCTTTCTTGCAAAAACCATAGATCAAAGGATTATATGTGTATGCAGAAACACTGAGTCCCGAATTCAACATCTCCTCAATAAGTTCCTTGGCTTGTCCAAGCTCACCTTTCTTCGACAACCCATTGACCAACACATTGTATGTTACATCATTAGGGAAACACCCTCTCTTTTGCATCTCAAATAGCAGCTCTAAAGCCTGATGTACTTGCCCTTCCTTGCAAAATGAATCCAGCATAGTATTATACGTGACAATAGTTGGCTTAATCCCAAACTGTTCCATCATTCTATACAAAATTTTAGCTTTATACACGAGATTCTTATCTCTTAGAACCCTGAGAATCCTATTACAGTTCCTCACGTCAGGTAATAAGCCATTTCGAACCATCTTATCAAAAATCAACAAGCATTCATCAACCATTGATTTCTTCGTGCATATCAATAGTAGAATATCGAGAAGCCTAATTGAAGCTTCTAGACACACGTTCCCAGCAACTAAAACATCGACAACTCCGTGCATTTCCATGCTAACCACCCTCTCCATCACCCAATACGCCGAACTCATCAAATTGTTCTGAGCAAGAATGTCAAGAATAGCACAGAACACAGACTCTGATCCCCTAAAATCCGGTTGGGCCTCGACCCATCGGAAGAAACGCAAAGCAACTCTGGGTCTGATCCGAATGGAATCAAGGACTCGAATAAACAAGTGAGGGTCGATTATCACGGCACCAAATTGATCGGAGACCCAGTTATTGTTGGAAAAGGCCCAGGGCTTTTCCTCAATTGTGTGAAAGATAAGGTCTCTGTAATGCGTTTCCGATAAGGTGGCTATGGTGTTGTTTAGAGTGCAGGGATGGAGGAAGGAAGAGAAGGGGAGGAGGAGGCGTACCTTGAAAGAGAAGGGGTATGAAGCAGCAGCTGTGGTAGCTATGGTTTTTGAAGCTCTAATGCAGAGGGTCATTGAGTAGAGAAGCTACACCATGCGTGGGAATGGTATGGCGCTCCTAAGTTCTAAACAAGTAGAAATCACAGGGAAGAAGATGATTCAGAATAAATTCCATACGCAAGATTGAGATTGAGAATTGAGAATGCATAAGACGGCGTGGCTCAACTCTAGCGCCGCACATGAAGTAGCAACGAAACCATTTCCCAGCCCTGAGTCTGAGATCCCAGCCCAATAACTCGCCTCCATAGCCTGTAATTAATTAATTAATTCAAGGTCAATTTTTTTTCTTTTATTATTATTATGGTCAAATTGTTTTTTCAAAACAAATAATAATTAAAAAAAAAGTTATAATCCTAATTTCTCCGTCCCAACTTTTTTTCGTTTTTTTTATACCACGAATATGAAATGAGATGTTGAACACAGTGAACAATATGTTTAACTCAACTAAGCTGATTTTGACTTAAATGAAATTATAATTTTTAATTCTTTTGTTACTCTATTATAATCTATTAAATTTAACCTAAAAAATACTTTAGTAATTAGGGCTTTTTTTCTAATTACTTAATAGAAATTTAACTAAGCACATATTTTGGGATCAATAATAAAAATGTAATTTAGACACTTGTTTGGTTTGTTGCTTACCAGTAAATATTGACAAAAACAAGAATTTCAACTGATCAATATTAGGACATAAATAAGTATTTGAAACCACTTAAAATTAGATATCAAATTTCAAAAACGTAACAAAAACAAAATAAATTTAGAAGTTTAGAAATCAAAATAAAACTTAGAGAGGAAAAAGGAAAAACTATTTCATGAAGAGAGTTATCAAGCGTTGTACTTCTATACTTTAATTATAAAGTCAATTTTTGGTGTATAGATTTAGATTAGAATAAACTTCTCCGTTTTTAAGTCTAATATTATTGTAAATGACCAATCTAAACATAGTAGGTAAGACATATATTTTTTACTAAAAAATTGAAAGTTCTAATTTACACCCTAAATTTTGAACTAAAAAAATCCTATTATAAATAAGGATTTGGAAGTTTTAATAGCAACTATGAATGTTTAGTTAAAATAAAATTTTAAAAAACATGGGTCAAAATAGAAATTAAATTTAAATTGAAAGACCAAAATTACGTAGAAACTGAAAGCTTAAAATTAAGTAAGTTTCAAAATTAAATATACTTTCATTTAGCTAGTTAAAGTATGTGAAATTAGTGAAGTTAATCAAAATTTTGAACATTATGGAACTATTCAATAATTATGCAGAGTAAATCAGGCCTTCATCTCTTGCAAAGTTTCAAATCTCGACCAATCAAAATATCAACAATGTCAATAAATATTTATGAAAATTATGAAAAATAAAAAATTATCAAAAAATCATTTTTTAAATAAATTAAAACTTGCAAATATTAATGTTATATCCGTATTGGTGATATTTTATTGATTTTTTTTTATATTTTATCAAATTGTTTTCGATAATGTGAAAATATAGATGCATCGTCATGTCACACATGTTGAGAAATTTAATATCAAGATCTCTTCTAATAATATACATCAAATTATCAATACCACCACAACAATGTGATAGATTCAAATTTCAATAAGATAATTAATCAAGTAACTCAACTAGTTAAAACAAATATCTTCAATAAAAAGTTAGAAATTTGAATTTTCAAACATATATATTGTTGAACTAAAAAAATTAATCAAATAGTAGTCGACACACCATAACTAAAATGACTAAATGATAATTTTTTCATATCAGTGTGTCCAGACCAGCTCCGCTTAACCCTACAACATTTGGTTGACAACTTGTAGGATATTAAATCATTAAATGATAATGATTTCAAAATTGTTCTAATAATCGAATCCTACACCAAATTTTTACGACAAATTTAATCATTTATCAATATTTTAATACATAATCATCATATACCACATATGATGCCTCATATAAATCCTCCTATGCTATAACTAAGATTATGAAAAATAAAATTTAACAGAACTACAATACAAAATACTGATCTGAGATTTTTGTTCAAACATTTTGATTAATGACTTAAGGGCTCCCAAGAAAATTGGGTGTGGCTGGTGGTGGACAGTTAATTGAAACTCTAATCAAAAAAAGGAATTATGTGTTTGTCTCTGTTAATCTTTTAGTTCTTTCAGGCTTTCTGCGTATAAACAAAACACAAGCTTCTCCGCATGTGGTACAAGTCATTAATTATAAAACTAACTTCTAGTTTTAGTTATGAATTATGTTTTTTGCATCATGTTCTAGCATTTTTAACATGAATGACAAGCAAAAGAAATAGTTCTTCCCAATCATAGTCATGATTAGCTGAAAGTCAACCATTTTATGAATACATACAAATAAAAGCAGGAGCTACATGAATTACCTGCCTACGCTACGAAAATAATATGCTGAAATTGACTCGTCAAGTGAAATTTTTTCCCACATGGTGGGTTAAATTGTGGAAAAATATAGAAAAATAAATTCTTAGCGATATAATAATCATAAAGTAAATAGTTTACGTGGAGGAAGAAAGAAAGAGATGGAGAGAGTTCCACCTTGAAAGCACAATTGCCATCGCAATGCAAAAGACCACTCAACTTTATCTGCAGAAAATAGGGGAAACTATTTAAAAGTACTTACTAAAACTATATAATAATGAAACATTTCTTTGATATCCAAGAATTCTCATCATCTCGACCATCATTTTAATAACGGCCCTACAGCAGTTAGAAGGGGAAAAAAGGACAGCTTGTTGAACATTAATGCACCAAGAGACTACAAGGCTTCTAAAACTTATTTTATTGTTCAAGAAATTTGTTTACCAATATACTCAAACGTAGAAGCTAACACACCTAACCCTCATTGATAACCCTTTTTTTATCAAGCAGCCAACTTTTCTCGTGAAAAGGATGGCTTAGAAAATCTTACTGATGGCTTCATTAAGTCAAGTATGTGCATCAATGATAATTTATAGTTTGATATTTCCTATAAAATATCTTATTGGCCTACGTACTTTTATTTCTATACTTACCGTGAACCCATGTAAAAAGAAGACAAACACATGAGTTGCCTAATTGTCAAAGCCACCCCAAAATCTAATCATAAAAAGCATTCGCTTAAGAATCGTACCATGAACCCGAGTGCTTCCTTCCACAAGATCGAAGCTATGTAGTTTCAGAAGAATATCTGTGGAAATCTATGACTATTTTTTTGTTTAAATTTCTGAAAATTTGTGGTTGGGAACCTAGTAAACAGCCATCCAGTCCGGTCCCCACGGCTGGTTCAACCTCCTCAATTCATCAATTTTTGAAGAATGACCTGTAACCATAATCAGAGACACCCAATCATCTTCTCACTAGATGGAAGTTTAGGACCTGTTTGATAACTATTTCGTTTTTTATTTTATATTTTTAAAAGTTAAACTTATAAAAACTATTTTCACCCTTTGTTTGTTATATGGTTTTTAGAAATATTTTCAAAATGGCCAAATTTTGAAAACCAATTTTTCAAAAACTTGTTTTTGTTTTTGTAGTTTACTAATAACTCAAATGTGTTTTCCCGAAAAGTGATAAGCTTATTAATGAAAATGTACTAAAAACAAGCTTAATTCTTAAAAACATAAAACTTCAACAAAAACGACATTACCAGTAGTTCAAAAACAGTAGATAACAAGTAGCAATCAAATTTCCAATTCATGAAAAGCATATGCCTCAACATAAAATCTCTTTTGTGGGGACAACTTACAGGACATGAATGATATGACTTCAATCCATGATGTAGTTCATGAGATGATATTAACATCTTGACCGGCCGAAATTCAATGGATTGATTGTGTCCGCGGTTGTCAACGAAACAGATTAATTCACGCTGTAGAAGGTGCTCAAAAGCCTGCAGGGCATTTTATTGTCAAAAAATAAATATAGAGCCCAACCTAGAAGGGAGCTAAAAGAATCCAAATGTAAACAATTTTGTTCGGCTCCGAGATACCCGTAAGCATACACTTCGTGAATAATAATCAGATGTCTGGAATGAATCATGTATACTCTTGTACTCTGTCACATTCAATAAACATGTTGAAAAATGCATGTAAATCTGTGAAAGTTTCAACGAAACAACTAGAAAATCGACATACCTTTCATTACAGAATTGAAGTTGTACGAATTCTGCTCCTTAACTTCCAACCTTTTCATGCATACCAGAATATAGAGCTCCAATATGGAACAATCTGCTAGAACAAGTCCAACAAATTCTTAGATTATTAACTGACCAATGTAGGGTTAAGGGATGATGGGAGTAAGAGGAGAAAGAAATGGATTCTAAATTTAGACTGATAACATGCTTATATATTCAATTTCTGATAACAGCATTTTAAATATATCCCTTGTTAAGTAGATGAAAAACCCCAAACCAAAGAGATTCAGATCCCATAACAGACAAGGAGAGATAACTAGGAGGTTGTAACTTTAACTCGGGAGAGAAAGTAGGTCGGGAAGAGAAAATAAACTAACAATAATGATATACATCTGATGGGGTATTAGCTCCCCATATATACCATAAAAGAACATTGTACCCTATAAGAAATAAGATAAAGATTAAGCATATCATCGAAAATCAGAGGAATAAAAGAATGGAAGAAATTAAGGGGCAAAAAACTTATAAATCGTAACTCGACTACAATGCTTAGAATTCTTTTACTGCAATTCAAGGTTATAGGTCACACACTCTAGCTTTTAGTGAGTGAATACAAGAAACAACATTCAATAAAATTATTGTATTGAAAGAAAAAAAACAAACAAACACTTTTAAGCTAAAGAAACCAAGTAATTCACATCATCAGAGTGAGCCCCTCATCTGATTCTGCAACAGTTCCCCTGATAAAGATAAAGAAGCACAGAAATAGGGGCACAACCAGCAGATTTATTTTCAAATAAAAGAAGTCATACATACACGTTGCATTCTATTACTTTAATCTCAAAAATTATTTATCATCAAGAGTATATAAATGATTCTATCAAAAGAGGAGATAACAGCAAACAAAATAGTTGCACATCCAGAATCCAAGAAAGGCTCAATTACAATTTACAGATGAAAACAGAAATGACGATGAGAAAATTTTGACATTATTTCTATTCCAAAACATTTTTAATTCCTCAAACCTTTAATGTATTCCTGCTTTGGCTGCCTCTGAATATTTGAAAGAGCATGTTGAAAATTCTCAAGTGTCAGCAACCCAGATTTCAAGTCCATCTTTGATATGGCACAAAACCTAATGTCATGATCTTTCAGTGCAAGTTTAACCTAGGCTGGAAGCTCAAACATAAGAATGCCATACAATACTTGAGGCTTCGGGACAGAAGAACTTACAAATATCTCATTAATTGTTTGACGGTGGAATCAGAGTCCAAATAAGTGTTAATGATCTTTTTAAATCTCTCATCTGCTAAAAGATTCTGCAAAATGTCAAGTATTCTTCACCAGAGGGATATATTTTTCATTTAATTTTAAAGGGTTAATTATGCCAAACAAAATTGTTCTGCATGCACAAACTAACGTCATTGCCATCCATAAGACATCAGTGGCCGGCTGAACTGAATCAGTACTGCAACAATAATGATTTCAAAGAAACCTCCAGCACAATCATATCTCATAGAGCTTTTTGTCATGTTTCATAAGGAAATGAAATGACTAAGCTGGATTATTAATTAATCCTGGAAACCAGCCAATTGGTCTTGAGCAGGTTGCTGATTTTGATGTTTGATTATGAACACTATTGTGCAGTTGCTAATTATGATGAATCCTGAAATCTACCACCATATGTTTAAATTACTGTTTCTACATCATCACTCCCATAAGATATACAACCAGAGAAAGGATACATGAACCTTTGCATTAAATTTAATAATGTAGTCATGAGGAAGGTCTGAGTCTATTGGCAATGATAAAACGTTCTCCAACAATCTGCATTATCATATTATGAGAAAACTGTAAAAATAAAACTAATGATACTGGAATTACAACAAAGTCATGGACAGCAGCAGAAGTGGAAACTAACTTAAATTCACCCAAAAATTACCTCTCCACATCTTCCTTGCAGGGAGGAAGAAATAGCAGTTTTCTATGGGAGAAACGAGATCTTACCCTTTTCTCGAGTAGCTGATCAGCATCCTGGATAGCAATTGAAATTTTTAGTAAATTTTAGAAAAATAATACAGGAGACACAATCTGATCGTACAACACAACCAAACCAATGAAATTGGAAAGAAGGTTAACTCTCAATATATCTTTTACCATTGTTTAAAAACTGAGTAATTTTGAAAATATTCCCAGCCACAATATAGCTAGTTCATAGATGTCATAATGTGCTGAACAAGAAGGTTCACGACTTTATATCCCTCCAATATCAGATTCCATTGAAATGGTTAACATGATTTTTTTTTTATTAAAAAAAATTGGGGAGGTTCGGGGCAGCTGTAATAAATTGTAGAAGGGGGATGGTTTCACAAGTTTCATTAATCTGGCTTGTGCACATGCAACTACCCTCACTTTTCAAAAAGAAATGGATACAATGTTGAGACAACTTACCAATCGACAACTGATGCCAATAACAACAGCTTGCGATGTCACTGATTGCATGGCATCTAACAAACTATAAAGTAATCGCTGTTTTCCCTGAAATGACCAAAAGTACTTGAGTTCGAGTCAGATAGTAGAAAAATGAATGGCAAACACCAGGGTCTAGGAATTGATAAAAATAGATATAACCACAGTATGAGTCTTACTTGTGCGAAAAGATCAAATTCATCCAGTATAAAAACAATCGTCTTATGAGCCAAGCCACACTCCCTAAGAATAAAAATTTAAAAATTTAGCGATAACTTCAAGTAACTTGCATTATTGAAACCTAGCAGATAGCTTACCGTAACATAGCTATCATAAATTGGGAGTTATCGTCAAAGGATGCCTATAACATACCATATCCATATCAATAAACCAGAGTGTGTTGTGATTGCATTACTATAGATAAAATAGACAATGTGTTTTACCATTTTTGAGAACAATAATTGATACTCCGCACAAATCTGCCTAGCAATCTCCTGAATATCAACGGCATGTCAGGTGTTCAAAGAATAGAAAAGATAAAAATAGATCATCCTTTAACATTATGGACAACAGTTTAGATTTCAAGAGCACGATGCAGCTTTTTCTGACAAAAATTCATTTTGAATATTCATAAATGCCTTTACACTGCTCGGTTTCTGCAAATTACACGCACACTGACAAAAACTTTATTTTTTGTTTGAAAAGAACAAGAAATACATAAGTAAAAAAAAAAAAAGGAATTATGCGTTTGTCTCTGTTAATCTTTTAGTTCTTTCAGGCTTTCCGCGTATAAACAAAACACAAGCATTCTCCGCATGTGGTACAAGTCATTAATTATAAAACTAACTTCTCATTTTAGTTATGAATTATGTTTTTTGCATCATGTTCTAGCATTTTGAACATGAATGACAAGAAAAAGAAATAGCTTCTTCCCAATCATAGTCATAATTAGCTGAAAGTCAACCATTTTATGAATATATACAAATAAAAGCAGGAGCTACATGAATTAGCTGCCTATGCTACGATTGGCTAGTCAAGTGCAATTTTTTCCCACATGGTGGGTTAAATTGTGGACAAATATAGAAAAATAAATTCTTAGCAATATAATAATCATAAAGCAATAGTTACGTGGAGGAAGAGAGAAAGAGATGGAGAGAGTTCCACCTTGAAAGCACAATTGTCATCGCAATGCAAAAGACCACTCAACTTTATCTGCAGAAAATAGGGGAAACCATTTAAAAGTACTTACTAAAACTATATAATAATGAAACATTTCTTTGATATCCAAGAATTCTCATCATCTCGACAATCATTTTAATAACGGCCCTACAGCAGTTAGAAGGGGAAAAAAGGAGGACAGCTTGTTGAACATTAATGCACCAAGAGACTCCAAGGCTTCTAAAACTTCTTTATTGTTCAAGAAATTTGTTTACTAATATACTCAAACGTAGAAGCTAACACACCTAACCCTCATTGATAACCCTTTTTTTATCAAGTCAAGTATAAGGATGGCTTAAAAAATCTTACTGATGGCTTCATTAAGTCAAGTATGTGCATCAATGATAATTTATAGTTTGATATTTCCTATAAAATATCTTATTGGCCTACATACTTTTATTTATATACGTTCTCACTTTCAATGAAATTAATTCGCAGGTTAAACTTCCTGAGGCTCGTCTATTAACAAATAAAAACTGTGCAATCGCTTACGAAAACATTGAAAGAAAAATGAGTCACAAAATCGATAAAAGACTTACCACCGAAATCATTTCAGGATACTCTAGTAATAGATCTTGCAGAACGAGATCCAGCACCTAAAATGCTTAAAGTTCACAGATTCAAAAAATCAGAAAAATAATTTCACAAGACAGTAAAATAATACAAGAGGCCGTCAATTAAGTTAAATACTGAAAGTTTCACATACCGCCATTTTCCCCGAACCGCGGGGGCCAAGAAGCAGGATTGAATTATTACACGCTTCAGCCACCGAACTGGATATAATAAACTTCAATTTGCTGAAAATATCAAATCGAACACTTCATTCCAATTGAACATGAAAAGTTTGTCTCCCTCCAAACAAAGAACGTCAAGAGGAAAGATAAAATCTCGAGAAGAAACTAAAACAACAAGCATATGTTTTCTCCAATGGAGCTTTTTTGCACTGCCGTGCCTTGATTCTTGAAAACCACATGAACAGATGAGAAATACGGCGGGAAGAAAGAGTTGTACCTGTAATTGGTATCGGCGGAATCAGATTGAGGCTTGAAGTAGAAACTAGAGTTACAGAGCCTACTGCGGAGAAGTCTAAGGGCTGCCCTTGCTTCTGGGAAATCTTCTGCTTCCATTTTTCCACTGAAATTTTCCAGTTCGACGAGAACCCGAAGATGAGAGAATTGGCGGGAAAGGGCATCCCCCCTCCTCCTATTAAAGGTCCCGAGTCGACTCGGTCAATGAGGAGACTCGAGTCGCTGTCACGGCAACTTTTCCTATTAATTTTTTGTAATTTTTATAAACATTTTTATTGATTTTTGTTACGTTTCAAAAAAAAATAAAATAAAATATTTTTGCGACGTTATAAAATTTCAATTTTTTCTTTAATCTTATATTTTTTTAGCATTGCGATGGATCGAACTCACAACCTATTGATTTGAAATATTGGTTTGAAATATATGTTAAAATATCTTAATATTAAGTTATTTTTATGTTGACAATTTTAATTTAATTATTGTTATTATGGTATATGAATAATAATTAAGATAATCATATGGTTCACATTTCGCCCTTTTCTAAATTGGAATTTTTATTTTCTCATAAAAAATTAATTATAATTGGGCTATTTAAAATTATTTATTGTCACAACGTGGGCCGGGTATAATTTAATGGGCCTAACTTTTTTTAGGTACAATGGGCCTAAACTGTTGAGTACCGGTTTTAAACTAACGGCTTATTTTAGATTCGGTTGATAAGTTTATGCTAAGGTACGCCCCAGGCCGTCGTAGCTTCGGCTTCGCAAAATATCATCATCCATCCTCGAGTAAGGCCCAGCAAATTGATGTTCGAGAATCCTGATTTTTGCAGTCTAAGGCTGTAAGCTTCCATTGATTTTGATTCAGAAAGCTGAAGAAGAGATGGGAAGCATCAGCGGTGCGCTGACATCGCATTTGCAGCTCAATCACTGCCATTTCTCTGCTAGAACTTCTCAGCTTGCTTCAGCTCGAATTAGCCCAACGTCGAGAAGGTCGAAGTTGCGGTTCTCCGGTTTGCTCAGCCGTAGGAATTTCAATCGATTTGTGTGTTCTGCTGTGGATGACGATGTAATAGAGAAGCAGACGGAGTTGGGTGGTGGAAATGGCTCGACCATCGTTGAGGATGGGCCTGGTATTACCAAAACCTATGTTTGGTTTCAAGTTATTTTTCTTGTGAAAATCGTAATTGGTTATGGCTTGCGAGTCCAAAGAATTTAGAGGCTGTGTATGGCATGGTTAAACTGCTTATTGCTTTGTTTATCCTTTTTTGGAAATCGGATTAAATGGTATTGGTCCATAATTTTGTTTATTACTTGCATATGTTGTATGATTAACTACAGAAAATTACTTGATTCTAATAGAGAGGTTTGTTGGGTTAGATTTTGAGTTGAGCTTATGGGCGTTCGGGGTGTGAAGGGAGAAAGAAATAAGTGGATTTAGTTGGATTCGTTACCAAGAAGGAGAGAGAATATTTTGCTTAAAGATATTCTCCCAAGGTTATGGTGAAAAACTTTATAATAAAGTATAGTTCTGCTCTGCTTTTATTATGCGGTTTTAGAAAGTTGATGTCATACTTGGTATGCAAGTTTTTAATACCACAATTTTTTTCATGGAAAAACAATAGATATCGCCCAGAACTCAACGGATGAAGCTCCGGAAAAAGGTGATATATATAACTTTCTCTATCCCAGTAAAGAACTCCTTCCAGATGATAAAGAAATGAGCGTGTTTGATCATCTTGAAGAACTACGTCAGAGGATATTTGTGTCAGTTTTGGCAGTGGGAGGTGCAATTGTTGGATGCTTTGCGTTTTCAAAAGAACTCATCTTAATTCTTGAAGCTCCTGTTAAAGAACAAGGTGTAAGGTTCTTGCAGCTAGCTCCTGGGGAGTTTTTCTTTACAACAGTGAAGGTAAGAACTTTGTATGATGAAATGTAGTTATACTCTTAGTATAATCACTTTTATGGACTTTGTGAGCATGGCTACCATCTGTTTATGTTGCAAAGGATACGAAAATGGTTTATGATACAAAAAATCTTGAGAATATGGGAAGATCAAGTTTGACTTTAATCAACTCAGCCTTTAACTTGGATGGATCACTTGGGACAATGGGTTGAGATTTCATTAATGATTAAGTTTTTTCATAGTCTATCTTCTGCTTTGTAGCTTCTTAATGGTGATTTTACATGGAAATTAGAGCAAGAACTCCTAAGTTCGAATATTTTGCAACATTCTCTTTCCTTTTTTCCTCTTGTGGTTCCTGTGGAGTCTTCTCAATCAAATTGATATCTAAACTCCTTGTAGCTTCTTGAGAACATATTGAATAATTAAATTAGGATGCCTTTTGAATATGTAAAATAATGAAGCTATTGAATAATTGAATTTATTATGATCTAACGAATTTACCTTCTTTTTTTTTTTTTTTTTTGATAAGAAACTTGTGTATTAACTCCTCAAAAGAAGACAACCTAAGGGCTGGGGTAGAGGGGACCCCACCCAAAGACTAAAACAAATTTACCTTCTCAAAGACTCAAATACTGAATACAATGCAGATAATCTCTTTGTTAGTTGTAGCTTCTTTTGACATAATCAGCTTCTTAGTCGCATGACAACGGTGAATTAGGATTCCTTTTGAATATGTAAACATAATGAAGCTATGATGTTATTATTATTTTATTTGTTACTATTTGATTTTGAATAACAACTTTTTGCTATTCTGTCGGTCTTTTTTTTCTGTGTGTGTATTGGCCATACCAAATCACTAAATCATATGACCCAAGTCCCTCTCTAACTCGATGGGTGATACCACAACTTTAAACTAGGCAAATGGTTTGTCATCATAATAATGTTTCTAAAATTGTTGTATAATTCTAAAATTAATACTCCGCTTCCTCCCAATATCCGGTTGTATATTTGCACATGTAGTTGGTTGGGGTCAATAACGATAGAATTCTCCTACTCATGTGCTGCAGGTATCAGGATACTGTGGCCTTCTTCTTGGAAGTCCTGTCATCCTCTATGAGATCATTGCCTTTGTTCTTCCAGGATTAACAAAGGCAGAAAGACGGTTTCTTGGGCCTATCGTCCTAGGCTCCTCTATACTTTTTTATGCAGGAATTGCCTTCTCCTACATAGTTCTCACGCCAGCAGCCCTAAATTTCTTTGTTAGCTATGCGGAAGGAGCCGTCGAGTCCTTGTGGTCCATTGACCAATACTTCGAATTTGTACTTGTGCTTATGTTCAGTACAGGCTTGTCTTTCCAGGTAAAGTTTTTTTGTACACTAGAATACTGAAGATTCCTATCAATTTTTTCTTGGGAACAATCCATCTCAGAGCTTTCTTGGAAAACGTTTTATTTTAAAGATCCTTTGAACTCAGGAAGTGGAATTATGAAGATGCTTTTTGCCTCCTTTCTAGACCTCCATAATCTGAGTTTTCTGACAGTATCTTAAATTCATTTTTAGGGTCATGCATGAAACTAAATTTCACTCCATATATTTCATGTTATTTGTAGGTTCCAGTTATACAGATTCTACTTGGACAACTTGGGCTGGTGTCAGGAGACCAAATGCTGTCGATTTGGAGATACGTTGTAGTCGGTGCAGTGGTGGCAGCTGCTATACTTACGCCATCAACAGATCCTTTAACTCAGGTACTTCTGGCAGCTCCCCTACTGGGCCTTTACTTGGGGGGTGCTTGGGTGGTCAAGCTCTCAGGACGATAGATCTCACCCCAATTTTTCCATCTCTGTGAGGATCCTGTACATTTACAAAATTCTATTGTGTAGTGTAATTGTGACGCCATTTAATATAAAGTAATATTCTTCCATCGATCTCTCCAAATTACTTTGTTTGTAGGGAAATTTTTTTAGTTTAAATACATTTTGACCTTTCATAAAGTTCTAAGAAATAAAATATTCCCGTGTCTCCAAAAAGCTAGTCCTTTGAGCAAATATATTAATGGAAGCTTACCTGAAACAAGTAGTTAACACTGAATGAAATTTGACTTTATCGAATATGGTCCATCATTGTTTCTATCTGTGAATTTTTTTTTACCATCATTAAAAATCAAATATGTTGTAGTGTCAGCTAATTATTCCAAGCAAACATTGAACGGCTTTCGGCATTTTTGAGGCATCAATTTTCATGAGGACTAGATCCTATATAGCAACAAAACTGGACGTAAATATGGCTACCCATATACATCTAGAATCCCTTTAGTTGCTCAAAGTTACATTCTGCATTCTAGTTTCTATACCAGTAGTTGCAGAACCGCCTAGTTCGATCTCGAGCTGTTTCAGTGAACTTTGCAAGCCATTGCATGCTTTTAGAAAGCCTTCCGAATTACCGTTCAGACTTGCCAACTCCGCCTGCATATTGTCAAGAAGGCTAGAAATTTTCTCAGAAGCTGCTTTAATGGCCGGGACCTCTTGTGGGGGGTAAAGACAAGCACCAAGCTCATCAACCTGCACTCCAATTCCTTGGCATAGCTTCAATAGATTCTCCAAAGACTCTAAGTTACTATCCTTGTTTATATTTTCCAGCTTGAGCAAACTTGTGATTGAGCGGATGAGTTCCTTTACAACTACAAGTATGGAAGATACAACGTTAATAGCAGATTGGGCAACTCTCATCTCTTCGGGTGACAAATCGTTGCCTATATCGGCATCATCGCTTGCATTACCATCATCTTGAGAATCGCCTTCTGCTTTGCTAGAAGATTCTTCAGGAGCTTCGTCCAAGTCAGATGAACCTTGTTTGAGCTCCTTCATCTCTCGGAGGACATCCTTCACTGATACTGCTACTTGGGTTATTGCTCGACCAACTGCAGTTATGTTTGTTGAAGGAGCCTTTTTAAGAGCAGAGCAAGCTTCCCAAACCGCACCGACCAACTGTGGAATTACTTGGTTTTGGTTATTATTCTGTGGTCCTGAAAATTTCATTCACCAAGGGAATGTTGACACTAGTTACATCAAAAGAAAAGAACGAAATTGCATTTACTGGCATAATTGTAATGGTTAAACAACATAGATTATTAGTTGGCAGCTTTATGCAAAAATGAAATAGAAAAAACATATAAACGAATGCAACCCAATCATCAATATTTGATAAAGGAAACTTCTAATAGCTGGAAAAATAAAATACTTATCTACCTCCGTATTATTAAAATAGCTAATTTACTTTAAGATTAACTCAAGGGTAACTCAAAGATGTTCCAACTGATATCATCGAAGTTCAGTAATCCATCATCTTCCATATACAACTTTAATTCAACATGGGTTTTCGTTAATCAATAATTCAACTCTCAATGCGTTATTAGTGCAACATTATACAAAAGATATGAAGTTTCAATTCTTGAATGCCATTTCTTCGGTTCAATTGATTTAACAAAAAGAAGATGCAGGTAAATTTTGGAAAATGGTGAATTAAACGACAATCTATGTACAAACTACAACAAGATCCATCCGTCGAAGAGGTTGTAAGGCACTAAGGCAGAAAATGAAACATCGAACAATGAATAACCGATTCCTTCATATCTTCTTTTTCTTCTTTGAATTGAAGTGGTATCACCTAATGATGGTCAAAAGCTATTAAGGATGTTTGGGTGAGGGTTTGAATTTGAGTGAGTTTAGCTTAAGATGCCTGACTCAGGTTTGCCCATTGGGTTTGTAAAGCCTAGAGTTTGTTGGACAAATATATAAGTTTCAACAATACGCCATACCTATTTGCCTCCTACTCCTACATCTTTTTTTTTATAACTGAGAGTCGGAATTTTGCTCCACTATACCCAGTGGCACCCGTGCCCGCTCCAATACCCGGACCCGAGAGACATCAAGAGTTTTTAATATTAAGTTCATCGAAAGGTTCAAACTTGAGATCTCTAAGTCAGTATGATGAAGAATCCCCAAGCCTTTGATAACCGAGCTGTTGCTTGGGGGCTCCTACAATTTTCTAAAGTCAGACTTCCTAAACTTGCAACCAAAATCGAGGTTTTCTAAATTCTCCAAGGGTTAAGATGCCAAACCCGCATCCCAGATGCCCCCTTAGGGTTTATGGCTATAGAGCAAAATTGCCACCATTTACATCATGAAGAAAGTTCGGCAGGAAAATCAGCATAGAAAGAAGGGGAAGAGTTACTTACCATATAAAGAGACAGATTCCTTCCATAGCCTAAAACTGGAATCAATTACTTGCTTCACAGATGCATGGATAACAGAGGACAGAGTAGGGCCAGCTCCCACTTTACTCCCATGGGAAATCAGGAGGAAACCCTGCAGCATATTGAAATACGATGCCATATTTTCCTCAATTGCTTTAACTTCTAGTCCTTCTCCAGTCCACACCATTCCAGCTACAGGGCAAACAAAAGACGCAACCAACCAAATTCGTGTCATTATCCATCGACAGATAGAACTACAAGCAATCAATATTGGAAACATAAAAGTAATCAACAAATTTCTTCCACTTCCTCATCATTTGAGAAATGCGTACAAGGCAATGCCCTAAGGAGGCGGAAGCATACCAACGGTGGCTTGCTTGTAGACTTGGTCGCCCATTTTAAGAACGTCCTCCCAGCTAACCTTTTCAAGGGAAGACGATGGGTTTTGATCCAACATCTACAAGTCAAAAGACGAAAAGTGAAATCAAATCGTGGTGTCCATACAAATGCAAGTTTACACCAGAAGCTTGTATGAAAATAAATCGAACCTGAAAAGTTTCATGGATGGTGTTAAGATGCGAATTGAGAGTTCGAACGAGCCGCTCTTTATCCGCTTTCCCCATCTCGATCGGCGGTTGTCTCGTTCTGAGAATGAGAGGCACTTGATTCCGGCGCCGGAGTTCTGAGAGACTCGACGACGGAAAGCTGTGGTTTTCTTCTGTGTTGGGTTTTACTTTCTACGAGGGCTCCAACACGACGTATTTATTTGCGCGGTTTTTCCTTTCTTAAGTGAGCAGAACGACGTCGTTATTATATTATGTTTTATTTTATTTTCCCCGCGATTTGTTGTGTTTCTGTCTTAAATTGTGAAAATATTTCATTTTTATTATTATTTTTTAAAATATATTTCATTTTTATTGTTAAAGATTGATTTTAGTACTGAGCCCCGTATCGTCTTTCATTTTCTGTTCTTTTTTTTTAATTAATCAAAGAAACATTACTTTTTAGTGTTTTTTAAATATAATTTTAATAATTGTTTTTGTTTTTTTAAAATAGCTAAGAATTCAAATATACTTTAAAAGAAGTGAAATTTTTATTAATGAAATTACACAGAAACAACTATAATTTTAAAAAATATAAATAATTATTTTACTAAAAAAAATATAAATAATTATCAAACTGCACCTATGCATAAATTAATTTGTGGTCAATAATTAACATAAAATTAATAGTTATTGTTTTAGGAGTAACTAAATTAACTTTTATGCAAAATTTATGCACTAAAATATAATATTTAAATAACTTCAAATAAAACTTATTAGGTTAAATAAAAAGTAACTTAAACCTGAGTATCTTTTTTAGCGCGACCTGGGAAAAGATAGCAAGTAGAAATAAACAACTAGACAAAGTAGGTGTCATGTAACTTAGCTAACCTATAGCATCTCAATCATTTCAATATAGTCCATTGAATAAATTTATTTCATAAATATTTTTTATATTCAAACAAACTTATAGCCGATTTAAGCTGGATTAACAAGATTTGTTCGAACGCCCCCGTCAACAAGAATTCCATTTCTGAGCCATACATTCTCTCTCTTCCAATCACTCAACTAAATTGCAGTCGCAATCACAACTGACACAAAAGAAAGAACAATACTTAGATACTTACAGATTAGAACTTTATCTTTAGGTTAACCACCAATAAAATTTTGACATGTTTGAAAAATAGAAAAATATCTCTTTTTCTACGTTTATTTCTCCTACTTGTCAAAAATTGAATTTAATTGTAGTGAGTAAAGAGAGCTGCTTACCGTTAATCACGTAAGTATTATTCTAAAAGAAACAGTCTCATTCAAACGCCTCGTATTTATTCTCTATTCCTCTTCCTTGAAAGATCCTCTCCCTTGACTCAGCAGCCTGAACATGACAACAGGAAATTCCCACCACATCAGCAGAAAACAAAACAACTTGGCAAAGCCATAAGAGAAGACTATATCTTCTTGCTAAAAATTTCCTGTCTTTTGATGAACACTCAGTAGAATAACAACATGGTAGTTAAATGTGTTTCATTTCAGCATCCAATTGTTAAAAGAGCCATTTCCAAAGAAAAAACGTTGCGATGGCATTGTTATTCTGCACGTTTCTCTTTACTTCCTCAGCTTTTCATCAAACAAGAAAACATAAAACTGATATCAACATCAAGAGAATCTGAAATGGAAGATTTGGACCTGTTCTTTCCAGTTTATTCGGCTCGTGACGATCAAGAGTAGGAGCATCTGCACGAAAGCCCCGATTTGGATGCCAATCCACAGACCCCTCCCTTTCAGATTTGCCCAGAAACCAAGAGCTACAGCAGCTGGATTTCCACACAGGTAGAAAGCCCCCAAGTTGATATAAGCCCCTGTACGCTGCCAACCACATCCTCTTGCAATACCTGATTTCACAAACAACATTTGAACACTGCACCATCCAATTCTGCAAAAAAAAAGACATTGCTTATGCTTATTGACATCAAACACAGATATTTAACTACCTGAAAGGACCCCTTGAATGCCATCCAATATCATTGATATACAAACTAGAGGAGCCATGACAGCAACATAATCCACAACTTCCTTTTCACTGCTGAAAGCGTAACCAAACACATGGCGAAGAGTGAAAAGAACCATGCTGACTATGATGGTCTCCACAACTGCAAGAAATATCGCTGCCCCAGCAGCTCGACGAGCAGCTTGCGGCTTCCCAGCTCCTAGTTCATTTGCAACTCTGGTACTGCAGCACAAATTCCATGAACAAAAGTAATCCTTTCAAAAATTGGTGCAGATTTAACTGATCTATACATGATAACATTTGCGAGGGTCTTAAGGCATACCTGCCTGCAGAACCAATTCCATATGCTAATGTAAATACTGTGGTCATGCTATTGAAGCTGTCCATAAAATGTCAATTGTGTCACTTGAGACAGATTTTCTTTTCAAAGATATCAACAGAAAATTAAGTAATCATATTTCCTTCTCTCTATTTTTTAGATCATGTCTTTGGTATATTTTGGCTATCTAGAGGGATTTCTTATAACCTCTCTAAGCTATGGGGTTGGCTCTCCTCCCCTTTTGTGAGTATAGTTATTTTCCCTTATGAAATGTCTTGTTTCTTGTCTTAAAAATAGTATCATATTTCCAGTCATTTTCCCATTAATTTAAAAGAAACTCCATTTTTCTCTATAAGAAAAAAAGAGAGGTAGAGGTAATAGAAGATTACCAAACAGATAGAACTGAAGACTCAAGCTGTGGATTTGGCAGAAGGCCAGACAATAATATAATCACTTCAAATGACCACCATGCAAGGCTGCAACCACCAGCATTAGAACAAACCAAAAACTTCTTATTGATTATTTGAGGAAATAGAAAAGGTGAAAACATATTACCAAGTCATCAATGCAGAAGGTATTGCAAAGTAAAGGAAGTCCCTAATTCCTTGGAACAGCTCCATAGAAATTACACCGCGAGTTTTCGCACACTTGGGAGAAAATTTCATGTATGATGCAAGCAAAATCACATTCAACCAATTTGAAATACTCATGGCTAAAGCTCCTCCAAGGTTTTTGAGTCCTGTTTTAAACACCAAAACCCAACAGAGGGGTATGTGCAGACATAAGGTGAGGCAAGAAAATATGAGCATGGGAATCACTAAAACTTGCATCTGAAAATATCTCATAAGTGGGTGAAGAGTTGCATAAGCAATGAGCCCAGGGATAAGCCAAATCATGAACTTCCCAGCTTCCTGTGATATCGAAGGATCTTGGCCAAGCAAAATAAGTAGGTTCCCCATGTTGATCCATAACAGAATTAGAGGGAGACAAACTACCAGGAGACAGAATATAGCAGTATAAGTATGACTTCCAAGTTTTTGATATTGCTTAGCCCCATAAGCTTGCCCACATAGTGTTTCAAGGGCACTAGCCATACCTAACTGCAAGTGTGGTTTTATAGAATAGTCAGCCACTGAGAGAACCAAATTCAGAATGAGAACTTGGCAAAAGAAATAGACCTTAGTTTCACAATTTCTCATTAGTGACAGGCCAATTGATTGAACAAATTAGAGGATTTACCATCTTAATCGTAGAAATGCAGAATATAATGACAGCCCAATCGCTGATGAGATTCTTTTATAATTTTTAATTTACAACATTTTGGCAACTACAGAACTTATAACCGGTAAGTAACACTAAAGTTAATGCCACTTCAACTTGTCAAATAGTTTCTGTACACAAATTCTAGCCCTAATAAATGTCTCCAAATTCCTAACAATATGTCCATTGAATTTAAGTCCAAAAAGTAAAAATCCATAAATCATGCACGCTGAAGCTCAAAGTGAATACGATTCTATTGTAAACATATGGAGATGCTATTATCCTGCGATTCCAAGCAGATCCAGCTCATACTCTCTATCATCGAACGGAGCATTCAAGTCAAAAGATACGAGGAACCCATTTTCATGTCATACATGATTATTATGCATTTTACCATTTTGCATACAGCATCATCCTCTGTTTGATCTCGTTCTTCAAAATCTGACGTCAAAAAGAAAACAAACCCAAGTCCACCTTTTCCAAGATAATTGCAAATGAATCTGAAAACCTTTTACTCGCAAATCGAACATCAATGGGAAAGGGGAGGGGAGAGAGACCTACTTACAACGACACTGAATCCTGTAACTGCAGCTAATGAGATGGCTATGGCGGTGCTCGAAAGAGCGAGTTCATCGAGATGACCCACAATCATCAACGAAACAATCTGTAACGAGAACTGAGACAGACTGATGGCAGCCAATGGAGCCGCTATGAAACCAACAGCCTTCACCTCCTCAAAGAAAGCGCTCCATGTCGTCTCGCTACGGTACTCGACCCAGTCCAGTAGCGGGGACTGGGAATCGCCCATGGCTAGAAAACAAGAACGCGAGAAGAAAAATTTTCCAGAAATTCGCGCACAGATTCTGTGCTGCTCAGCTAGCAATTTCTTTACACAACCACCAATGTAAGACAATTTTAGGTACAGCCATTACTGTACAGCTGTGCACGAAACGCTCATGCTGACAGATCATAACAAGTTTTGGCGCCATCTATGGCTGATCTGATCTTCTTCCTGTGATGGAAACCTAATCCCTTTGTCTCGACGCCCTATAATTTCAACTGAAGAAAGTTCAGAGAGAGACAGAGAAAAATGGCGGCTGCATTGTACGGAAGAATCTGTAATAATGAAGCGAAGAAAATCGGAAGCGTGAAGAAATCATTTTGAAGATTTTCTAAAATTTAGGATATTTTCATTTCACATCGGATCTAAAGAATAGTCAAAGATGATGTGAAATTTTAAAATATTATTTATATAAGAGAGAAAAAGACAATTTAACTCAAGAGGGTGATAGTAATCAATAAATATATTATTAGTTAAAAATATTTTGAATCCTGTATTTTTACTAAAATAATAATTTAATCTTTTAATTTTAATTTGATGAATAAATATATTATTAGTTAAAAAATAAATTTAAATCGGTAACAATTGAGTACGTAACAATTTAATTTACATAGTTTAAAATTTGTAATAATTTAGTCGTGAAAAATTTCATCAAAGTTAAAGTATAGATTTTTATCGTATAATAATTTAATATTTATAATTTGTAAACATATATTGGTTTCTCATTGAGATAATTAGTTTACATATATAAGAAATTTAACAAAAAAAATCACGATAGAAACCTAAATCTTTACAAGCTTTAAACTACATACATTAAATTGCTACATATTAAAGATTATGAGCTAAATTGTTACCATTTTGAAAATACATCGACTAAGCTATTGTAAGCTAACGTTTATGGACTAAATCGTTATATATTAACCATAAACATTTTTTAACTTAACATTTAGATAAATAGCATAAAATAAATATGCAATTGCACTATAATAAATTGACCCAAAATAATAGTAGTTCTAGTACAAGCTAAATAGATTTCAAATATGGAACAATTGAAGCCTAGCTCGAATAAAACTCATCATAACATTGTACAATATCTGTTTATCGATGATAGACTGTATCACTTATATATTATATCAATATAATGAAAATAATACATTGGTGATTATATAAATTATGCTTTGCTTGTTTGATTGTCTTTTTTTCTTGCTTATTTAATATTTAATTAAGCACTTACATAACATAACAAACATAATTAAAACGACATATCAATTGTTATGAAAATGTTACCTTTCTATCGGTTCTGTTTGCATACCAATTGACTATTTGATCTTTCACCCATATACTATATCAATAGAATTAAAATGATATATCAATTTATATAACTTTCATTATGTTTGCATAATCGTTTGCTATTTTGGTTTGTCATCGATATATATCATATAAATACTAAAAAACTAACCAATCGTGTAAGTGTGATCAAAATATTATTTGAATCTCTTTATATATATATATATATATATATATATATATATATATATATATATTTTAATGAATTACACAGGAACATATCTAAATCCTTTTGTAATCTTTATAGTTTAAATGTTTTAGAGGGGGAAACCAAGCCTTTTTCCTCATCTACGTTTATGTTTTTTCGCTGAAGTTAATACTAAAAAATATTACTAATTATCTAAAATTTTTGCAATGTTGATGTGGCATCCACTCCTTAATTAATGAATTTATCTTTATTTTAAGAAAAAAAATCAAAAGTTACTAGTGATAGTTTTAGTTATGAAATTAAATATCCGTCAATATTTATTTCTATGTATTTATGAATTCGACATTAACATGAGAGTTAAATCGATATTTGTAAAAAAATTTGACAAAATATGAAAAATATTAACAAAATCGTAATATAATATTAATATCAATTATTTTTAACTATTTAGAAATGATAAAATACTTATATTGGTAATTTAAATAGTTTTTATGAATTTTTTATTTTAAATCTTTTTAAAAAATATTTATTGATATCGGTATTTACTTTGGTATCTAACATTGGTCTTAGTCGGACTTGGGCCAGCATGTGACAATAAGCCGAAAGGGCACAACCGGTTTTCAGTTTCAACCTATATTATATTTGAATTGAATACGTGGTTTACTTTTAATGGTAAATAAATTTATTAATTCATTGATTTATTATTTGCTGCATCATTCGAAATACTTTCAATTATTTGGTTACAAAAAAAAAATAAATAAATAAACATTCAGTTATCTCTCTTAGAAACCTTCACTTATGCATTTAGCTAAAGTAAAAAAAAAAAAAAATTAAACATGTCCCTAAATAATTTGATTGCTAAAACAATTAGTAGAAATTGACAGAGTTACTGAGTTGTAAATTGCATCGTGGTAAAAGTGACTTTTCTATAAATGTGACAAATATCAATAATCACCGAGCAACCACTTTTTGAACTACATTTTATTATTCAATTATTATCAATCGTTTGTGAGTCAATTTTCATCGCTTGTTTTAAAGATAAAATCATTTGTGGCATATTTGAATCAATTTTAAAGATCAAAGGGTAGAAGTGATATTTTTTAAATGATAAGAATATAACTGAAACCAACCTATTCATGAGTATTTTGACTAATTTGTCTTTTATAGTCTAAAAAGATTCATTCATTAGATTAACATAAAAAATAAAAAACAAACTTTTAAAAAGACTAAGTATATATTTTTCCAACTTTAACACTGTTTGGAACCTCCGATTTGGAGGGAAGATTTTGAAATCATATCACTTGTTTGGATTGATAAAGGAAAAAGAATTTGAAAAACAGTTAAAATATTTTCCGTTCCAAATAGATCGGATTTGTCATACTTTGGTGGGAAAAATACTTATCAATGTTTTGTACATCCTCAACCAAATTAGTTTCAAGTTACTTATCATAGCTTTTTCTTTTTTATCATAGCTTTTTCTTTTTTTCTTTTTTTTTAAATTCTAATCATTATAAACGGACTCTGTTTCCATTGTTTTTTTTATCACTGTTGATTTTCTATTTTGTTTTTGATGTATTTAATTTTTATAATATTTCAATATTGTTCAGATCTTATATGTTTATGTTTATGTTTTTTTTTGTATTTTTCTTGTTTATTCTTTTGCTTTTATTTTTTAGTGTTGCATATCATAAAATAATTATGATAAAAAAAAACACACACACACATTCCTACGAATAAATTAAAATTGTTTGATTTTAAGTTTTTTTTAATATTTGAATCAAGACATTTTCATTTTTTTAAAGTTTAGTTTTTCAAATAAAGGTGACATTGACAAGTTTTAATTTTTGTTAGGTTGATTTCATTAAATTATTTATGTTTTACATAGTTAAAATTACTAGTTTATATTAAAATATTATATTATTAATAACAAATACTCTACAAAATATCAGGGGTATAATAGTAAAATGTTATTCTTTTTTTTTTTCATTTCTGGTGAAGATCCAAGCAATACCAAACGCAATTAAGAATTTGAAATCATTTCTATCATTTAAAATCATGGAATTCGAAATCATTTCCTGCCATTTCTGGATATACCAAACGGAGCGTAAGGTTTATATCTCCTTTTACTTTTCTTTTTGCATATAAAGTACCACACATTCGAGCTTTTCTTTTCTTCTAAATATTTGAAGATATACATTTTTATAAAAACAATTACAAGTATAGCATTTGAAAGAATATCTCCCAAAATCATTAATCACTTGATGATGGTAATGGTCGTGGATTTATATATTTGCTGATCGAGTAAAATTATAACTCTCACTGATTAACTCTATTATTAACTTCATATAATCATAAGCATATACTGCCTTTGTTATACTTGTAATCAGTTTTCCAACTATTTTGCAATATTACATATCAATTGTGCTTGGTGTGCAAACAAAATTTTAAATGTGTAATGTTGAAAAAAAATGTATAATTTTCAATTTTATGAAAATATAAGATATTAATGAATATATATAGAAAAAAGATCATTAACAAGTATTTAACGCTTTTTTTTATTATTTTAATCTGTGAGTGTCTCAACCAATTTATGCACACCTCGACTAATTTTAAAGGACAACCGCCTGACCCTACAATATTTGGTATTGAAAAATACACATAAATTACTAATTCCTAAGATAGTTGGCTATCATAAGATAGTATTTAATACTTTTAAATAAATATTAATATTTATGTCCATATTAGTGATAAATCAAGTCAACTTTCTTTTTCTTTTTGTGATTCTATAGAAATATCAATTTACTCTTCATGTCGATGTTAAACCTATAAAAATAAAAATGTCACCATAGTGACAAACACTCTCTACTCTCTTAATAAGTTCCAAATTTTAAAAGTTCGTCTAACAAAATTTATAACATACAAAATTGGAACACAAATCTCACACATAATTTATATGATAAAGAAATATGTAAAAATCAATACTCATTGTTTGAGAATGATCTGTTTGCTCCATCATATAAATCCATGAACTTCCGAATAACTTCCCTCATGAACAGAAAGCCTTTCACCTGCCTTTATTGCCTGCAAATGTAATAAGATATAGCCATAAGAATACCCTAAAAATTGCAACCAATTATATCTGCAATACAGTACATAGCAATTCGTACCATATAATATAAACTATCATCTCCAATTAAGCGATAATAATCCAAATTCAATCCCATTAACAGATAAATGAAGATGGTCATCCATGTAAAGAATATAATGAATTAGGAAATAGACGCCTTTTGTGATAATGGCATATTTGGCCTAAATAGTAGTAAATTTGTCAAATGATAAAATCTTCTGAAAAATGGCAAAAATGCAAGAAGTCGCATACCAGGTATATCAGTAATATACTTTACCAAAGATACAAAAATGACATATTAATAATATACTTGATCGATGCATCAGTCATATTCCTTATATTGATATATGATAAATCACACATATCTCAATAACCTAGTTTATACTAAGTATATCTTTAAAATGTCATATTTACAAATTATTTTCCGTTCAAGAATTTGCAAATATCACAAGCAATGTTTTTCCCCCAAAAAGCAATAAATAAGCTATCATTCTCTCAATCAATCAAATCGTATACGTTTTCTTGTATCAAATCACTCAGAACCCTCAAAAGTTAAACTTGAAACATTTTTTTATGAACAGTGTAGGTACCTTTGGAAGAGTATATAAACATGCACATTAAGGGACATCCTTTTCAAAGTCGCAAATAATTAATAAATTATTTCATCTACCAGTGGTCCACAAAAAGAACACTTCTTTTCTCTCTCTCTTATTTCATCTCATAAATTATTATCTTTTTTTTTTTGACAGCTATTGACTCTGTCTTCTTTTTTATTTGGTTTTTAATTTCCATTTATAATTTGCTTTCAATGCTACTGCAAGCCTGCAACTACTCCTTCCAGTCAAAATGTTTTCATTTATAAATTTTCATCAATGTAGAATATCAATAGCCTACCTTTTTAATTGTCAGCCAATTCAATTATTTGTATAGTTCGATAGACAATACACCTATTACCACTTCAAAGGACAATAGTTCGATCCCTAGCCCTTACAATTATTGAACTAAAAGCATAACACTTGCTATATCATATTATGTTCAGACTCAAGTTGCCTCAAAAAAAGAGGTAGCGGTACATTCATGAATGGCTAAAGATCCTCTAAATCTCTTAAAATTGAATCCAAAATCCCATCATCTATCTTCAGGTCATTTATTTAAAAAAATCATAAGAAGAATAATAATTTAGACGACATGATTTCACCTTTTCAAACTATATTAAAGAAAAAAAAACAAAACAAAACAAACATTTCACGAAACATGAAGAAACCTTTTCAAACTATTATTGATGCCATAAATTCAAAGAAATGAGGTACTCATCAATAACTAGAGTAGATAGTTGAGGTGGGAGACGATACCTGTTCTTCCCAATTTATACGACTTGTAATGAAGGCGAGCAACATGGTTTGTACACAAGCCCCAATTTGTATGCCAATCCAAAGACCCCTTCCTCTCAGCTGCACCCAGAAAGCAAGAATGGCAGCAACTGGAATCCCACAAAGATAGAAGGCCCCTAAGTTTACATAAGCACCAATGTGCTGCCAACCACATCCTCTAGCAATGCCTGGTTAAGGAAAAAAACATTTCAACTCTGCAGCAACTTGTACTGAAAATAAGTATAGATGAACATATTGACCATAATTTAATAGTTTCTGGTTCAAGTATCTACATTGTCATTTCTTGAATTGTAAACCAAAATAAAATTTAAATCCACTCAAAAGGACTAAGGAGAGTTAAAAGCTAACATGAATGTATGTATCATTTTTAGTAGTAATTTCATTTGATAACAATTTCACAGAAGGATTTAGTTTTTCGGATTTGTAGCAGAGATGTTTAACCTGAAAGGACTCCCTGTATGCTGTCCAACATCACGGATATGCAAACCAGAGGTGCCATAGACGCCACATAAGCCACAACATCCTTCTCATTGCTGAAGGTATAACCAAAGACATGGCGAAGAGCAAAAAGCGTTGTGCTTAATATTGAGGTTTCCACAATGGCAAGGAATATAACAGCACCAGTCGCTCGACGAGCCGCTTGCGGGTTCCCAGCACCTAGTTCGTTGGAAACTCTTGTGCTATGGCAGCAGGAACAAATGGAAAAGTATTACAAAATGATGAATTCTCCAACTTGTTGGGAACATATTAAATGGTTAAATAACTTAAATTTATGATAATTTAATAGCTTAAGCAAAATACAAATACTCAATTGAATATCGTATATCACTTTGAATCCTGATTTCTTTTTTTGTTTTTCTTTTGATAAAAGCTTGAATCCTCAACCTTTTATTTAAAGAATTGGACCTCTAAACTGCAGTTCCATTTTATGTCAAGTATAAATCATATGACTATCATGAGACTAGAAAAGATACTGTTTTACCTTAAAGGAAAATGATTTGTAACAAAGGAATCAAAATCCGATTCCTATACTCTCTCTCTATTGGGGTTATTTTAGCAATTGCTTAGGTTCACTTCATAATATGTAAATAGTTAATTATGCAGGTTAGTCATTAAAATTAGTTTCAAATTATCTTGTTACTCAATCATATGAAGTCAAATGTCAACACTGAAACTAGTATAAATGTACAAAGACCTCTTCATCAAATAAAAACAACACCATTTAATGGATAAGATCATTAATAGCTGAAGCGTGTAGATCTATGGATCCAAAAAATTAATTACATATGCATGTATCTTAGAGCATACCTTCCTGCAGCACCAACTCCATATGGTATCGAATAAAGAGTTGCAATTGTATTGAGACTGTTAAAAAGAGCCAACTGTTAATATAACTGCTTTCCATCTAGTTACCCTAAGCTTTAGCTTACACAAGAAAGTTAATGATGTTTCTGTATTCACTACGAGATAGAGCAGATATACCAAACAGATAAAACTGAAGTTTCAAGCTCTGGATTCGGCAACAGCCCAGATAGTAAGATAAGCAGCTCAAATGACCACCATTCAAGGCTGCAATGATAAGCATTAAATTATTATTTTCAAAGATTAAAAAAAAAAAAGAAAATCAAAGTACAAAGATCCATGGTTCATGATTTACGAAACATAAAAAAAAGTACGGATAATAAATCACCAGACCATCACCGCAGAAGGAATTGCCAAGCCAAAGAACTCTCGAATTCCTCGAAATAGCTCCATAGAAATGACTCCACGAGTTTTCTCACATTTAGGCGATAATATCATGAATAATGCTAGCAAAATCACATTCAACCAATTTGACACACTCATAGCCAATGCTCCTCCCAGATTACTGAGTCCAGACTTGTACACCATGAACCAACAAAATGGTATGTGGAAGCAGAGAGTGATGCAAGAGCAAACGACCATGGGGATTACTAAACTTTGTGCCTGGAAATATCTCACCAGTGGTTGAAGAAATGCATAAGCAAAGAGTGCAGGAATCAGCCAAACAATGAATTTTCCAGCTTCGCGCGAAATCAGAGGATCTTGGCCAAGGAAAATGAGTAGCTTTTCCAAGAAGATCCAAGATAGAGATAGAGGAATGCAAATTAAGATGATGCAAAATATAGCAGTGTAAGTCTGAATTCCAAGTTTGTGATATTGCTGAGCTCCATAAGCTTGTCCACATAGAGTTTCGAGGGCACTGGACAAGCCTAACTGTTTGGTATCAATGTAAAAATCCAGGCAGTTGTTGGAACAAGAACAAACGAATTTAGTTTAGCAACTTGGCAGAGCAAAATATATTTGAAATCGACTAGCTTTGTCGGGTTTATAGCAATAGGTCTAAAGGTTGGAATTTGAAGAGAGCATTTTACAGTGGATTAGTAGTCTTAGACGTACTCGGAATTTCATAGTTTTTCCCTACGTTTATGGCATAAGAAACATTGAGATTGATGCAATATGACAGTGGCTTGTTCTAACCATAATATGGGTTGAATCCAATCTTAAATGACAAGGGAAAGAGAGACGAACAAAATGGCATCATTATTCTCACGAAATTACAGTTCAGAAGCACCAGTACGCAGCTCTAATTGCTAACTTAATTTTGCTCGATGGCTTTATTTCCTGTCCGATTTAGTCAAAATTAGCTTTCAAAAAGCAATTATCACATCCAAAATAAACTACAGATGCATTTATTTATGCTGGAGAGAGTTATGACAATTATTAAACATAATTGTTTACTTAATGATAACTCTTAATCTAACGCAGGAGATGACTCCTGCAGTCTATCCCTTAGGTTGATACTGTTGCTGAAAAGAGAGATTCAAATTCAACAAAAGACAAATTCCTCCATTCTATTTTCTTCAATAACAATGCATTGAGTCAACGAAAAGTAAAAGAAAAAAAAATACAATTATACCTAGTTTGGGAATAAACAAAACAAAATGCAATTATTCTCCAAGAAAGACGAGACGTAAACGCAAGGGTATTCTTTAGATGACGAGAATCATGAGATTAAACCTTCTCCATTAAAGTATCCATCAACATTTATATGTAGCTCGTACTAACAGAGGGGAAAAGGTACACAAAGAATCTCAACCATACAATATGTAAAAAGATGAAAGCATAAATTAGTACTCACGATAACACTGAAGCCTGTAACTCCAGATATGGAAACGGCCATGGCGGTGCTAGAAAGAGCCAGTGCGCTAAGATGACCGACCATCATCATGGTGATCATCTGCAACAAAAACTGCGACAAAGTGACGGCAACCATCGGCGCCGCCAAGAATCCCACATTCTTCACCTCATGAAAGAAAGAATCCATGGACGTTGAAGAGGCCTTGTTATCCCTCTGCTTCGGCAGTAAGATCTCTTCCATGGCGCGCTCCTTCCCGTCCGCCATCGAGCCCAACGGATCAGTTCTCCGCCTTCGTCGCGTTCCTGATTCTGCAATGCAACTGCCGGAGAGCTCAAGCTCAGGGTCAGTGGAGTTGTATGGTTTCTTCTTCTTCTTCCTCCCTTTTTTTTTATTATTATCATTCGATTATTTTTTTCTGGAAAATTGGGAGTTGTGTGGTTTTGGCCTTCTGCTGACGTGGGATAATTTCAAATAAAGACGAATAATCTTATTAGTTTTTGTTTTTTATTTTTGGAAAATAATAAAATCTTATTTGTTAATTATGATTTACAACAACACTTTTTTCTCCCTTTCTTCCCCTTTTTATGCAACCATTTTTTTTTGTTAGCTCTTCACACTTGCAAGGGTTTTCTCTTTTTACATTTTTTTGCCAAATATATATCTTTTTCTTTTTTACTATTTGACGAATAGAAATGTAACATATGATCATTCACGGGATAGAAATGTTATATAGAAGTAGGATATCTGATCTTCTAAGAAATTTTTTTTTCTTTTTATTTGGATAAAACACGTGGTAGTGGAAATTTGAACTTACAATTTTTTGGTCGGAAATCTATGTTTTTAACAAATTGAGTTGTGTTTAGGTAGGCAAATTTTTCTTTTTTCATGGGTCTAATAATCTTAAGTGGAGATAAAATTATACATGTTTGAGATGGTAATAAATATCTTAGTCATCTATATGAATTATGTTGTTTAAAAAACCATAATTTATAATATTCCATATAGTTTCTAGAAGTGTATTTTAAAACAAGTAAAAATGAGTTCGGTAAACAATCATATTTTAAATTTAAAAATAATAGTTTTAAAAATAAAAGAACATTAAGAAAAAACAAATATGTTGCATTGTCATTTTAAATATTTTCATGAATCATGAATGTATATTTTGTTTGTTTTATATTAATACAAAAAGGTTTTAATGATTTGTTTTGTTCTTTAATAAAAATAAAAACAAAAAGAAAATCCAGAGATTTTGACTCTTCCCAAGTTGGAAGGAAGAAAATATAAAAGACTACTATACTACAAACTCGATGAATGTCGGAATGGAAAATAAAATATCATTAAAAATAATGTATTTGCAGGAAAAGAAAAACTGCGAAATAGCCGCCCACGGGCCCACACCCACGAGATATGAGTGACTAGGATTATTTATTTACATGAGCTGTTTACTTTTCTATGCGTGAGGCAGAAGTATGACTTGGCTTTGAAATTCATTATTAAATTGTTTCCACACGCAGTTTATTATTATTTATTTTTTTAGTACAATCATTTATAACGGAGGAGATCGAATCTCAATTTGGGAGGAATACATGCTAATTACAGTTGAATTGATGTACTTTATTATTTATTTATAAGTCAGAAGTTTAATATCCTTATTATACTAAAGGACGATTCTTTTTTTTTACAACAAATGTTTGGAGTTCGAGGATCTCAACCTTCTATATCTCAAAAAAGTGAATATGTGCATTTAATGTTGGAATATGTTCACATTGGCTAATAACTATTTATACTTATTAGAGCAAAATACACTTTTGATCATCGATGTTTGAAATTAAATGTCTACTTTAGTCCTTAAAGTTTCAAAATATAACATTTTAGTTTTTAAGGTTTGTAAAGTAAAGTGGTTGTTGGAGTTGTAAGAAGTGCAAACAAAGTCCCACGTTAATTAAGTACGGGGTGATAGCCATGCTATATAGACGATGATAATTATACTATGGTATGAGATTTTTTTGGTGAACAAAAAGTAAAGTTGTAAGAGTTATACATAAAATAGACAATATCATACCATTGTCATTTAATTAACAGAATGAATAGCACGTCTCTTTGTTCTCTCTCTTCTTAAACTTTTAGGTTAATTTGTGATTTAACAATATTTAAACATTAGTGTCGTCGGGATGGTGGCACCGTAGTCGCTTTTGAAATCATCTCCCTCTATTTATTCCTTTTCTTACATGATGCTTCTTCGATAAACTTTCACTTGCACTATCGACTTCCAAATTTGGAGTGGCCTTCGTTCCAGATCGGAAAGCCCTCCTTACGAGAGAGATGGTTGTATAAGGAAGGGAGAAAAAAAAAAACAATGTTGCAATGTAATGTCTCAAACAACTTGATGTTTATAAGTGCAATAATACATTCTCGCGATGTCAAATATTATATGAAAAATAATAACMTATAATGTTTWAAAAAWATATAATAATAATAATAATAATAACCTCTTATGAGTTATGACTGGTCACGATTCACGTCACTTGCAAGGCATTTATTAGTTTACTATACTTGAAACTCACATGACTTCCTCTTTCTACCCGGTCTTTGATAAAGTAGATAGTTTCTATTTTTCTCCACAAAAAAACAATGTTGCAATGTAAAGCTCCATCATAACATTTACTTTGTTTTTTTCTTCATTTTCAAGATCAACTTGTACTTTAGTAAAAAATGGAGTGGAGGTGGTACAATTGGTCCCAATGACTAATTTATGGAGGAAAGAGTAGCAATTTTATAGCCCGAAGGGACCGTAGTTTGGTAACATTCCCGATTCAAAAGGTAGAAAATTTATATGAAATTTATTATTTTTTAGATTTAATATTCATTTTTTTATGTTATTATTAATTTTCAATATGTATGAGAATGATAAAACAATATTTTTGTTTATGTTTTTTTTATATGGAAATAGAAATCAAGAATAATAAACTTTATTTTGTTATTTCTAAAGTTTTTATACAACTTTGGGAACGTTCGTAAAAAAATGAGAAACGAGAAACAATAATTGTAAAATGCTTAGGCTTCTTGATAAAATTGGAACTGAAAACAACAAACGAGAATATTACCACATTTTTTGTTTATTGTTTATTATTTCTAATTTTTGAGAAACATAACTGCGTTTTATAACTTTTCATGTTTATTATTTATCATTTTTTATAAACGTTTTTCAAGATTGTGTAAGAATTTTGGAAGCAACGCATCAAATTTATTTATTTATTTTTTCTTTTTTTTTTTAAATGCATACTAATATGAAGAAGTAAATATAACACAACAAATTTGAATATTTTAAATTTTAAATTTCATATAAAACTTTTACTTTTGTTAATCTAAAATGCTAGAGAATTGAAAAAGACAAATTACAGACGTAGTTCTATTTTTATTCATTGCAAATAGGAAAAACAAAAAGTATAAAATAAGAAACATAAAATAAAAAATTACCGAATCCGCCCTTAATTATTACCCCTACTTTATTTATGCTTCATGAAAAATCATTAGGGTTCCAAGATTTCCCAATCCATACTTTAATTATTCGCTAGTTTGATACATTAATTATACAACAATTTAATAATTTAATTATCTCAATAGAAAATTCTTAAAAAAAATATATCCGAAAATTAAATTCTAAAGGAAAATAGTTGAAGGGTGAGAAATGACTAAAAGTCTCCGTCTACAAAAATAAATGGGAGGCAGTACTTGTAAGCTATCTTCATCTTGAATATTATGCCCTATCCTTATTCCTATGTACTCATCATATTTATGATTATAAATATTCACGAACGACTAATATCGTGAATATTATGTCCTATCCTTATTCTTATGTACTCATCATATTTATGGTTATAAATATTCATAAACAACTCATTTAAAACTAAATGTGGTAGGTATGATGCAAAATTTTTAAATAAATTGATTCACCCACTTGTATTGATTATTGTACTTTAATATAGATTTAATATATATATTTTTGTTAGTAGAACATGTGGAGATGAGAGTTCGAACTCACAACCTCTTGATTTGAGATATATGTCAATTATTGTCATTGCTTTGATAATTTAATAGGTTTTTGAAAATAGTTAATAAGTTTTTGCCATTGACTCTTTTATTTTAATACTCGCGTGACCAATTTACTAACTAGGCGACAAAATTATTTTGAGCAAGTTTAAATATTGGAGGACATGCGTATGTTTATTAGATACAACATATACTAGGAGACTTACTAATTACCAATTTTTTAATAATATATATTAAATACCTATAGACACGACTTTAAAGTTTGATGAATTCAATTTACAACCTGACCATCAACATCAATAAAGTTAATGACAAATACTAAAACAGTTTGGTATCCAAAATTGAATAACCCAAACAAAACATTGTAAGGTGGTGGACTAATGTTTAATCATAAAAAAAAAAGGTCGGTAGGAAAGTTCATGAACTAACATGGAATTTGGACAATTTATTTTTAATTTAATTTAAATATTATTTTAGTTGATTGTGCTTTTAATTTTAGTTCACCACTTAGATCTATTTATTTTTATCACGAATTTACGGTGATACATTAGGTTTAACATTTTACAAAAATAGTATAAATGCTAAATTTTACATTTTTGAAAAAAAGAATTTAAAACTAATGATATTATTACAGCACATTTTTATTTTATGCTACAACACAACCAGAGACAAGGATATGTAATTGAGATTCTTTTTAGTAATGATTTATTACAAACTTATTCCAAATATATATCAACTCCAAACTATTTCCAAGAATAATGCTTCGAAAATTATAGGACGTCGACCTATATCACATCACAATTTTCGAGTTGCATGGCGCCTTGCTGGCGCCATGTGTGTGTTTTTTTTATTCAATAAAATGTAATATTGAATTTTTTAAGTATAAATGTTATATTAAAATTATTTTCTATTTTAAACAAATTTAAATATTATTAAGAAAAATATAATCATGTGTTTTTAATTAAGTGTTTCTACTAAATACTATAATTACTGCATTAATATATTTCATTTTATTTACTTTAGTAAATATTAAATATAATCATGTGTTTGTAATACAGCATTATCCAAAAGAAAAATCCTATATAACTGGGTGAAACCAAAAGCCCATGGCAGTGGGTAATGCAAAAGCCTATTGGGCCAAAAAATAAGTAAAACCTGAGCCCACTGGGCCAAAAATTCAGTCCAGTAATAGTTTTGACTTCTTGTTGTTTGTTTCCTGGTTTAGTGGAGCGACCAACGACACAAAACTGACACGTCATCCTATAAACGTAAACCCAATTTAAACGGAAAAGAGCGAAATAAAGGGAAAAGGAAAAAACCTAAAAAGAAAAATAGAAACACCCACAAGACCACCAAAACGACACCGTTTCACGATTGCCGGCACTTTTCTGGTAAAAGGTTCACTCATATAAAGAGGCAATTTTAACGCAAGAAAGAAAAGGTAAAAAAATTTAAAATTAATAAATGAAATTCCAATTTTGGGCTTGGTGGCCATCGATTTAGCCCTGCGATTCTCTCTCTCTCTCTCTCTCTCTCTCACTCCTCAACTCTCTGAAGCCCTAGCGATATGGCTTCACGCAGACTTCTCTCCTCTCTTCTCAGATCCTCCCCGCGCAGAGCTTCTTCCAGATCTCCTCTCTCGAATCCCAATCCAAGGATTTCCCCCGTCACAACGTCGCGCGCTTCCCCTTGTGGGTATATCCTCTCTCGCGTGGCCGAGTATGCGACCTCTGCTGCGGCAGCTGCGCCTCCGTCACCACCGCCTTCGGCGAAGAAGGACGCCGGAAAGGGCGGGAAGATCACTGATGAGTTTACTGGTGCCGGTGCGATCGGACAGGTCTGCCAGGTGATCGGTGCTGTTGTCGATGTGAGATTCGATGAGGGGTTGCCGCCGATCCTGACGGCTCTTGAGGTGCTTGACAACTCGATCCGTTTGGTCCTCGAGGTCGCTCAGCATTTGGGAGAGAACATGGTTCGGACCATTGCTATGGATGGGACTGAAGGGCTTGTTAGAGGACAGCGTGTGCTGAATACCGGCTCTCCTATTACTGTAAGCTTTTCTATTCGCTTTCGATTTGACTAGATTAAGTGGCGGTTTATTGTTGATTTGTGTTTTGACTTTTGGTTGTGTCGTCATCTGGGTGCTGTATGAATGAAATGGAGATGGATTTCTTTTTCGTATGATGTGGAGCCGGTGATCAATGATATCTCCAGATCTATTTGTTATAATTAAATTTTATTGTCTATGTATTTATGCACAATGTATGTATGTGTTGTGAAATTCAGCTGGATGAATGGATGTGGATGTCAGTTTTTGACAATGGTAATTCTATAATTAACTTACGACTAAATTTTTGATTAACTGGTTTCCCGTCGAAATGATCACGTCAATGCAGAGTAAGTCTTCTACAGACCTGTTCCTGTGTGAAATATTTTAGCTTAAAAATAGGCTAATGCTCAATAGACGAGATTTCAACTTCGTCTAACTTATACTAAATCTCCTATCTTTTATTTAATGGTGCATTTGTACAATATAGAATGGTCATCAGATTCCGTATGTTTCTGTTGACTGCTGCAGCTTATACCCTTTGAGTTTGATTGTTTCTTCCACTGATCAAGACATCATTCGTTTTATTATGTTTAGCTTCTATTTTGATATTGTAGGTTAGGTTTTGTCTTTTGGACAATTTGTTTCTTGGTTATCTATGTATTTAGCCCAGGTGAACAGAATATTTTTAGACATTTTTCTTTATTGATCTTTCAAAATTTGACAGGTGCCTGTTGGTAGGGCTACACTTGGTCGTATCATAAATGTTATTGGAGAACCCATTGATGAGAGAGGCGATATTAGTAAGAAATCTTGAAACCAAGCAAGCAATTATACTTGTTAATTCGTGTTTAGCATAGAAGATTCATAACTATGTGGTGTTTAACAGAGACCGACCATTTCCTACCAATTCATAGAGAAGCTCCTGCATTTGTTGAGCAGGCAACTGAACAGCAGATTCTTGTCACTGGAATCAAGGTACAATAATGAATTCAGTACAAGTCCGTTTTATAATAGATGAGATGACAAGTGTCGCACATGTGCAATGAAGTCACGTATATTGCCTTTTGGTTATAGGTTGTTGACCTTCTTGCTCCATACCAAAGAGGTGGAAAGATTGGACTGTTTGGTGGTGCTGGTGTAGGAAAAACTGTTCTTATCATGGAGCTAATTAACAATGTTGCCAAAGCTCATGGTTGGATTTATGAACCTTCCAAAATCAGGGTTTACTACTTCTGTTCTTATTGTATTTACAACCTAACTATCTTCTTTGATCAGGTGGTTTTTCTGTGTTTGCTGGTGTTGGGGAACGCACTCGTGAGGGCAATGATTTGTACAGGGAAATGATTGAGAGTGGTGTCATTAAGCTAGGTGACAAGCAGGTATCAAAAGCAATTTGTATGTTTATTTTTTGGTTACCTTTGGCTTTGATTATGACGACTTTTTTCTTCATCCCCAATTCTTCTACCTGATTTACTCGCCTACAAAAATGATGAATTGAACTTTTATTTATTAGGCCGACAGCAAATGTGCCCTTGTATATGGTCAAATGAACGAGCCACCTGGTGCTCGTGCTCGTGTTGGTCTTACTGGACTAACTGTGGCTGAGCACTTCCGTGATGCTGAAGGGCAAGATGTGCTTCTCTTCATTGACAACATTTTCCGTTTTACCCAGGTAAGTTTATTTTCCGAGGATCTAATTAATGACATTGTCAAGATCTTGTCGCACCAAAGACGTGTTGAGATTCTTTTCCTTTGTCTTCTCACTCACAGGCTAATTCAGAGGTGTCTGCTTTGCTTGGTCGTATCCCATCTGCTGTCGGTTACCAACCAACCTTGGCTACTGATCTTGGAGGCCTTCAAGAGCGTATCACAACCACAAAGAAAGGTTCTATCACTTCAGTGCAAGCTATCTATGTGCCTGCTGATGACTTGACAGATCCTGCTCCTGCTACCACATTTGCTCACTTGGATGCCACAACTGTGTTGTCACGACAGGTTCGATCCATTTATTTCATTTCTTAGATGGCTTTATATATTATATTCTGCTATATCTGACTCTTTGCTTGTAAACAGATCTCCGAGCTTGGTATTTATCCTGCTGTCGATCCATTGGACTCTACATCTCGTATGCTTTCTCCTCATATTTTGGGTGAGGAACACTACAATACTGCTCGTGGAGTTCAGAAGGTCCTTCAAAATTACAAGAACTTGCAAGATATTATTGCCATTTTGGGTATGGATGAGCTCAGCGAAGATGACAAGTTGACGGTTGCACGTGCTCGTAAGATCCAAAGGTTCTTGAGTCAGCCTTTCCATGTCGCAGAAGTCTTCACGGGTGCTCCTGGGAAATACGTGGAATTGAAAGAGAGTATTACTAGCTTCCAGGTACCTTTCAAAATCTCAATCCATTCAGTTAAATTGTTGAAATAACCTGGTTTTCATTGAATCTTCTTTTTGTATGAATAAAAAATGTTCCCGGAAACTCTATAAATACTTGAAAAAACACCTAAAAATCATACTTCTCATTAGTGCTTCGCTTATAAGCACTACTCTGACAACTCCCAAATCCAAATCCAAATCCAAACTTCTCCCAGTCAAGTTCTTCTAGCTACAAGATTATAGTTTGGAATACTGCCTGATGATGCAATCCAAACATATTCGCGTGGATGCAAGCAAAAATAGTTTGATTTTGAAAAACTAATGATGGGTTTCTTCTTGTTTGTACGAATAGGGAGTGTTGGATGGGAAGTACGATGATCTTTCAGAACAATCATTTTACATGGTCGGAGGTATTGAGGAGGTGATTGCCAAGGCAGAGAAGATTGCCAAGGAATCTGCTGCTCAGTAGTTTACTCATCTTTTTTTTTTTCTCTCTTTGATAATTATGAAAATTAATAATTTAGGTGATGTGTTGGCGATGCCAGCAACAAGGCTTTTGATATATTTTTTTTGAGATGTAACGGAACCAGAGATCTTCTTCTGCTTTGTTTTAGTTCTTGTTGCAGAATCTGAAAGAGAGTTTCACCAGCCTTCTTCGGCTACTTCCTCTGCCCTTCTTTTCTTTTTTCTTTAATAAGGGGAGGAAACAAGACATGTACATTTTTCCTTTTTTGACAACTTTTTATGAACCATATAAATCAAATCCCTTGTTTTATATGATGAAATGCCTTCATTCGTTTTCTTTCCAAACCAAAAAAAAGGGACTGTCGTTAGTTTTTCTGCCAACTTCTGTGGATGATAGTTTTTAAGTTTATGATGAATGGTTGCAAAAAGTGAGGAGAGTAGTAATTGATATATATCTTGAAGTAAGATGTGTGAGTTCTACTCCTCGTGAACAGGGTACAGTGAAGAAGAAGGGCTTTTTACCGGTAGACCCGTCTTATATGGGGTGAAGAATCTCTATCTAGGTTCTCGGCGGTCAGGATGGGAGATTTTTGTACCTCTCGTATCAGGGAACGTAGGGGAAATACGTTTCCGTCCTGCAGAACTTGATCCCCGTAGGGAATGAATCTCCACTCTGATGTAGAAATTTCGTAGGACATCCTGTCCCCGCCCTGTGAAAAGGGTTTGTTTGTAATTTTGATTTCTTTTGATTTTTCAATCATTAATAGAAGTATCGTTTTATATTATAAATTGCATATATATATATGAATGAATGAATATTTCATTTTCTATAAATCAATTTTCAACTGAAACTTCTCATATTGAAAGGAAAGTTTTAGTAATCCATCACATTCTTATTTCATTTTCGAGTAATAAAGAAGAAAAAAAGCATTATCAAACAATATGAAAAACGTAATTTAAATATTAGTTATAAATAACCTAAAGAAATTAACTATTTTAATTCACGATAATTAATTCTATAATATTTCTATTTACCATATTTGTCAAAATTAATTGACTCGCTCAAATTTGGGTTCTAGAGTGCAAGCTAAAACTCTCTAGCCCTTTTGTTAAAAAATGTAATTAAAAATTTTATTGAAAACAATTTTATAAAATGGCAAAATTTAACATTATAGTTTCATATATATTTATAAAACCTTAAAATCAAAATTTTTGTGTGGTTTCTTTGATCTATATGGATCAAGGAGACGATTTCTCTACCTCTTTCATTATTTCCCTCCAAATTACACATATTGGTGAGGGGAAATGAAACTACATACAATTAAGAGCCTCGATCTGGTTTGAAGTAATTGTTTAGCTTACTCTTTATAATTTTCTTGTTACTTTATCTATATTATATATATTATAATCTGAACATAATTCAACGGATTAAAACGTATATTCATGATCAAGAATTTGCTAATTTGATCGGTTCTATTTCCCACTATTTGTATTTAAAAAAAATCATGACAAGAATTTTAATACCTAATGTTATATCAATAATTTTTCTTCCAAAATTTTATTCTACAAAAGATATTATAAGAAAAATGGTACTAGGAAAGTCAAAGCAGACATGTCTCTCAAGAGCCAAGGCAATATATTTTAACCCCAACAAATAGAAAAAAAACCCTACTTCCAACGAATCAAACGGCCGAATGCTCCAAACGAAGGCGATCGATCCACTTATCCCCCAGCATCCAGAGATCGTCTGCTATCGCGACACGTGGAAGAGCGAATAAACTCGCACCCTCGCGATTATTTGATTTTCGGCGCGTTCTATCAAATCGCCACCTACCTTCTCGCCGAAGCCACCGGCCGCCTCCGCCATTAACAGCCAAACTCCGAAAATATAACAAGCTTCACATCTCCACGTCCATCTCCATGTCCTTCTCTATTTCCTCTCCCTCTCTCTCCCTCCCTCGTCCCCATGCGCTCTCTCCCCTTCCTCCCTCTTCCATGTCTCTCCTCCGCCGCCTGAGACCCGACCGTCTCAGATTCAACCTCCGCCACCACGCCGCCCGATTCGCCTCCGTCGCTGCCGCGGCTGTGCGCCAGGACACCGCTGCTTGGACTCAAGCTCCTCTCGTCGAAGTCGAGCCGGCAGCCGAGTCGCTCTTCCACGTTTCCATAGACGTGTCCGATGCGCCGGAGCTCGCCGTTTCTCACACGCGTGCTGGTCAGTACCTGCAGCTCCGTGTCCCGGACGTCGACAAACCGACCTTTCTTGCTATTGCGTCTCCTCCCTCGCTCGCCTATGCGGAAGGCGTGTTCCAGTTCCTGGTGAAGAGCGTGGAGGGCTCGATCGCTGAGCTTCTCTGTGGCTTGAAAAAAGGAGATGTCGTGCAACTTAGTCAGGTCATGGGGAAGGGCTTCGATGTCGATCAAATCGAGCCGCCCAAAGATTACCCTACCGTTTTGATTTTTGCCACTGGATCTGGAATCAGGTACGCCGCTTGTTCTTGTTGCGGAAGTTTATTCTCATTCTTTTACTTAATTTATTACAGGATGCTTTACTTTCTTCTTGTAAATGATGTGTTAATTTTCTTCTAATTTCTTCAAACTTGTGGCTATCTCGTCTTGAACAAATAATAATGAATTAGAATCAGGGGATTTTAAACCTCCATTTTTCGCGATCAATGTTTTTCAGTACAGCAAGGTTATATATTGAAGTTGTTTCTTTCAGCTTCAGCTCCTAGTGCAGAAAAATAGAAAGCGAAGAGCCAAAAGTGGTCCGTTAAATGGCTTGTTAAGTTCAGAGTAGGACAGGTTTAAGATGAACAACCTAAGAGTCGCACTTCGTAATTGTATTTACTTTGCATGGAATTCAGATGTCGATCAGGTAAAAAATGGGAGCAGTTCATGTTTGCATTTTCTTAATGTCTAAAGTGTCTAACAGCAGATAATGTATACGAAAACTGCAAGTAAGATTGGAGAAATTTGGCAGATTATGATAAACACTAAAAAAATATCACCATGTTATACCATCTTATGATTCAAATCAGACTCTCGTTCCCATAGTTAAAACAAGGGATAAATGACTAGAGACCTTTCAGGAACTATTGAAAAACCTACATTCCAGCCAGGAAATTTTACATGTAAATCTTTCTTTGCCTTCCTCGCTAATGGAATCTCGATTCCATATAGCAGACTGCTTAAAGACTCTAATTCAAAGTGGAGTCTCTTGTAAAAGGGGAGTATATGTTTAAGATGAGGTCAAGATTAATATTGTAATCCTAGAAATGTAGGCATCCTTTTGAGCAAACCAAAAGTTGTTGAAGCATCCTTTTGTCACATGAATAATGTTTCTTTGTATTTACTAAATGACCTTGAGGCCACAACTGCTCATATTTTGTGTATACTTTCTGGGAAGGACATTACAATACCATATTTTCTGAATTGGCGGCTTATTTCATTAAAGATAATTGGATGTGATGGTTATAGGTTTAGTTTTTCATTTGCTTTGTAGGCCCAGTAGATCCCTCATGGTCCGTTCCTTAGCTATAGTGTATGAGGGTTATAGGTCTGGCGTTTCATTTGATTTGATTTATACCGGATTCATATCAAACTATTCCCTCTACTGCTGCCATGATCTGCTTCTCTTATTTCACAATTTATTTTAGTGGTGTTGGCCCACATATATCTGACTGCCTTCTTGATTAGAGATTATATACTTGAATGTTTTTACGTACACGGACACACATGTACACATGGGAGTGTTATTCTTTTGCTGCTAAATGGGTTCGGTTTTCTCGCAGCCATAGAATTTAGCATATTTTATTCTGAGCAAATTTGGCCCCTACACAATAGAGATAACTTCAGTTTATTTACAATCTTTCCATTTTCTTTGCTGTTCTGACTATGTACTTGTCTTTTTTGTGTAGTCCAATACGATCTCTAATTGAGTCGGGCTTCAGTGCCAGTAAGAGGTCTGATGTGAGGCTATATTATGGGGCAAGAAACCTGAAGAGAATGGCTTATCAGGTCTAGTTAGTTTTGCTTGTTGCATTGCAGACTTGCCATCCACAGGACAAAATCTATGAAACTAATTTGTTTTTTTCTTTTATAGGATAGATTTGAAGAATGGGAATCTTCTGGTGTTAAGGTTTTCCCTGTACTATCACAACCAGAGAATAATTGGGCTGGTGAAACTGGCTTTGTCCAGGTAGGGCTGACTGTAGACGTCTCTCTTTCACTCTCCCCTTTCTTACTTTTATTGATATTGTAGGAGCTTTGTGACAATAGGCTCAAATTATCTTGTACTTACAGGCTGCCTTCACTAGAGCAAAGAAAGTTTATGACCCTCTTACTACTGGTGTTATACTATGTGGTCAGAAACAGATGGCTGAGGTAGTTTCTGTTTCATTTGCCGAACTGTTTATCCACCAATTATTAGAGTGCTTGCATATTGTATAGAAACTATTGAGGACCATTTTGCAACTATTTAGTTAATAGTTTATGACATGTCACATAGATATGGTCAACAAATTAATCTCAATTTCCGTCTTAAAATATTGAAGTGCTTCAATGTGTTCTACACTTGGGAGTTCCATCGCAAGTTTGCAGCATCAACAATATCTTTTTGTCTCTTATTCTTTTATTTTTATAGAGGAAGCATCAACTATGAACATGCTTGTCATTTTTGAGGGGGTAAGGTAAAGAAAAGCAGATTAATAAAATAATATGTTAAAAATTTCCTCCATTTCTAACCACTCATCTAGCCCACATGTTTTTTAGTTCTCTATTATCTCTGGATTGTGCTAGAAATCCCTGCCCACATTATTTGTCCAAGAATTATAACTTATGATGCTCATCACAATCTGAAAAAGTTAGACGCACTGGCATCCTTACAAGTGCATCTATATTGTCTTTTGATCACAATTTGTCAAGTGAATCCTTTTTCGCTCATTAACCCATAGAACATTATGAATCTGAATTACTGCTAGAAAGAGTGATGTCAAGGCTATCCTGATGCATGCTATTTGTAGTGCGCTGCATAAGAATTGATAACTCAGGCACTAGATTATTGAAATCACCATTTGTTCGGCTTATTTGGTATGATTTCGTGGTAACTGCATCTGCCATTAATTGTTAATGAGTGACTTCGTGGAACCATTCAGTTGAGAAAATAATTCATAACAAGTCATTAGCAAGTGCTTCATTTTTCACTCTTTTTTTCTGTTTGCAGGAAATTACGTCAATTCTTGTAGCAGATGGAGTCTCTAGTGAGAAGATACTTAAGAACTTTTGAACAAGCAAACAGAGAATAGTACTGTTGTATCATCAATTTGATAGAATGTATTCATTTTTTTTCTCCCCTGGCTGAGATTAAGCATCTCAGCTTGGATTACAAGATAAATAATTATTGGGGGCTAGAAGATCTGCACTTTATGTCCATATTTTTCAGGATTGAAGCGGCTAACTTATAGGGTTCCCACCTCCCAGTTCCATCTGTTCTAATTTGGAGGACATCACATTCATATGTACGGTTAGAAACTTCTTGGAACTTTTTGCATATTTGATGTTCCAATAATTTAGATTTACAGTCGAAAAGCTTCATATTCGTGATACTATGATAACTCCAAGTTGGATAATGTTTCTGGGGGAAATCAATAGGAATAGGATAGGATAGTTGAAGGTTGACTCTGAGGGGGCAGCTCAGCTTTCTATTAAACCTATAAATCTCAAGCTATCATATTCCTGGTAATTGCAGGCTAAATATATATTTTAATATTTGATATTTAGGATAGTTGGAGATAGGTACCAATACTATTGAGTTTGATTATGCATTAATGTATGGTACAAAATGAATAGAATAGGCAAAATTCGTGTCAATTTCCAGGATATTTGAAGCAGGAATTATAAGCGTTAAAGATATTCTACACATTAATTAGACTTGGATAACAGTTCTTTCATCAGAGCTAACATTCAAGCTAAATGTTAGTGTTGTTTGTGACGAACTCTCAGTATATGCATAAAATGCTCAACCACATAATCTGGAAACAGTATTTGCATTCTTGAAGTAATCCAACCAACTAAAAAACAAGAAAAGTTTTCAACTTTGGCCAATAAGATCCCTTGAGCGAAAGGTATAAGTTTTAAGAATGGAGTAGCAACAAGTGACATAGATGGGGAGGCCTAAATCATCAGCAGCATTTGTCCTAACAATGAATCTGAAACAATTCACATAAAAACGAAAAAGCAGCTGCACCCATCAACCAATATCCGTAAGAATCACTTCCATCAACAACATCTAATCCTTAGCACGATCATGGCAAATATTGCTCACATCAGGTTCATTCTCCACATGTTTTTCGTTGCTCGAACCATTGGACAAATGCTTCTTCTCCTCACCTGTGTGATGGTGTCGATGTTTGTGATGGTGGTTACATCTCTTGTGCCTAGATTGAAGTGCTGATTCATCATGGTTATCATTGGAAGCATGCCTGCCGTAATTACAATCTAATGAATCGACACTACATGATCGATGCGACCGCTCATGTCGATGGCGGTGCTTGTGGTGCCTTAAACGTCTTTTCCTTTGCAAAGAAGTATTATCCTCAGTGCTGCTAGAATCATCTGATGTATAGTCCGTTCTCCTATGATGTCTGTGCCGCCTGGAATGATTTCTTTTCATTGACTCATCATCACCAGAAGAACTGGAGTAATCTTCATCAGAACTTGACCCATCATGCGCATGTCTTCTATGGTGTCTCTTCTTCCTCCTATCTTCTTCAGAGTGGCTGTCAAATTCATCGGTGCTATCATCAAGGGATGAGTGACGTCGTTTTGATTTTCGCTTAGATTTTCTATCCTTTCTCTTCTCACTGTCACTTGAATCAGAGTGGTAATGTTTCCTGTGCTTCTTGTGACTTCGCTTACCTGCTCGCCGTCCATCATGGCTATCACTTTCTGTATCAGTATCAGAATCTGATACTGATCTTCTTTTATGCTTGGCAGCCTTGAGCTTCCTCGCTTTGGCTTCAGCATCAGCCTTTGCCTTGGCAGCAGCTTCAAGTTTCTGTTCCCATTTCAATGGGGCTTCCTTCTTCTCCAAAGCTCTCTTTTTCTTCTCCTCAACCAATTGGATGAATTTTTTGGTGTCCATTTAGATATAAAAACCAGCTCAATACCTGCATTTTGGTATGATGATGACCGGAAGTGCATCTCACAAAAGAGAAAAAACAATGTTAGCTTTCCATCAAAATAAGCACTTTAATTGCATCTGCTTTCTCATGCTACATAAAAACACATGTAACATGCTGCACAGAAAAATTTATAATTGAGATAGATGAAACTTGTGATAAATATAATCAAAATAACTTGACAGGAGCAACCCTTCATCTACCGAGCTAGAACAAAAAATTTCTCTTTTCCATAGATCCCTTGTTAAACTAAACAAAAAACCGTATATGCTATAAAATTCAGTATAACAATTAATCAAGAACTTGCCCTGGGGATTTCCTTTTCAAGAAGAGAAAACATGCACACTTAAAACCATAATAAGATTCAACATAAATCCATGTTCAACTTCTCACTACTGCTAGAATATCAAAATGCATAAATCTGCAGGAGATAGACTTAAATGTGATCAAGGATGCATACAACTTTACAGAGGTAGAATCAGGAAAATTGACGAATCTCAATAGTTCACTAGCAGAAAGTTCTTCCAAAAGTAGTTCACTTTCTTACCTTATCTGCAGCAAGTAAGTACAGCTTTCTGGACAAGTGTTCAGCTCCCCACAGCCAACTTCAGGCCTCCTCAACGCACAGATAAATAGACAGATCATCAACTAGGACGAATCCTAAATTTTAGAAATTGAAAATACTTGAGAAAACAAACCCACCTTGATGATGTTTCACAGATTATAACACAAGCTGTACATGCCCATATGAAAACTACCTTGTTCTAATAATGAATATTCAACCAATCAGTCCTTTACTAAAAAGCAGTATTTCTCATAAACCTCTTTGATCATCCATAAACCTAAAGAATAAGTTGAAAGAAAAGGCCTGCTTCACACCCAAAGCATCATATAATTTCATTATTTTGACAAGAATTTACCACCATACATTCAACAAAAAAAAAAAACGAAAGTTCCGTGGTGATGATTACGACACTAAGAAAACGTCCATATCATGTAAAAATTTACAGAATCATTAATTTCAACTTGTCCGCTAGGAAGGTATTTGCGATAATAACAGCAAAATTCACGTAAACCCATGAGATAAAGAAACCCAGAACCCTAGCCAAAAGGAGTTTTGTTCGGAAGAGAAAATAACACGAGATCCATAACACAAGATTACTCGCAAGTAGGTAATAAACAAATCAGACGAACACACATCAACCAACCTTAAAACTCAGATCTAGCGATCTTAAGAAGGAGAAAGAAAACCTAAAAAGGAAGAATAACAGAAAACAATCGCTACGCCTGATGATCAAAGTACGATTAGGGATAGCAACAATACCTGAATCCAAAGGAGACCGGAAGGAAGATTAGGGCTTTTCTTTGACTTTCTGTCGACTTCAATTTTCCAGAAACCTCTACTTGATGTTGAAATTGGGGAGCAGAAGTCCTTTTTATAGTGACATGCGCTCACGCTATACGCGCTTCTACGCGCCCCACCGCCATCAAGCGCCCGCCGTTTCCTTCTTTTTCTTTTTTCACGATGGATTTTGAACAGAATTCCGTATATTTTTAAAATATTTATTTTAGTATCTATATTTTTAACTTTTATTTATTTTAATATATATTTTTTAAATTATATTATTTTTATCTATTCATTTTAATTTTTATCTCATATATTTCGATGAAAATTTTATCATGACATTGCATCGATTACATTTTTTGAAATGTAGCCATATATTTGTATTAAAAAATTTTATTGTATATAAATTTTGTGTTAAAATTTTGCAAATAATAACTAAAATAGCCATCTCTTTGAAGTATATTGACTATAGAAATTTTGAAAATGTAGTGACAAATGATCTCAATAAAAATTTAAAAAATATATAGATCACAACGAATCAAAATTGGGAGTACATGGACTAAAATAATATTTAAAAAATAATAATTATTTGTTCAAAATATACTTTTCGTCTCTTAACTAACATTTATTTAAGTTTATTTTTTTTATTTTGAGTTTATAAAGTTTTGAATGTTTTATATTAATGCCTCAATTTTTAATAAATTTCTTTAGAAAAATCAACTTTTAATAGACTCAGTATTTATTGGTAAAATTTAAGTCAGGAACTTATTGTCAATTAATATCATATCACGGACAAGATGGACATATTAGACATTATTCACTCAAAAATTAAGAAAATTTTAAATAATTCATATTCAAGTGTTAAATAAAAAACTTTCAAATAAATTTTAAAAGGACCAAAAACTAATGTCTCTCTTTCAAAAAAAAATATTGGTACAAATGAATATTTGAACCATGATGCTTCTGAAAGTAAGTTATTTTTACCCTACTTTTAGAAATTACATTAAAAAAAAATCAATTCTTATTTCTAACTTAAACATAACTCAACTATTTTTCAACTATTTTTTTCCATGCCATGATCCATTGAGATTCAGTCTTTCCTCATTCTGATTCATCCTTTAAAAAATAATAATAATAATAATAATAGAAGACTGTTCATGAACGTTAGCAATATTGGCACTCTATACAAAACCATTTTGGTGAGAAATTTACAATTCTAGGACTGTAATTTTTATAGGGGAAAAAACAATATCAAATACATCACCCAATAAATAGATTCAAAGTACAACACCCAGCAAGTTCAACAACAAACTGCAAACTCCCATGCATGAGTTTTCTTCTGATTCCTCTTGGTGCTGATTGTCCAAAATTTCCACAGATCTTTCATTCACATTCCAAATCTATTTACAGTTAACACACAGATGACCATCCAAGACATGGAAGAGGCAGTCAACTAAGAAGGTTTATGTTGGGCATATATCGACGTCTGGACCGCTTGGTGAGGAGGTGGAGCTTTTCCGTTGATGAGAACTTGTTCTAAGAAATCGACACGGATTGATTTGAACCGGTAATGCTGGTTCAACATAATCCAAACAAACTCATATAAGGTACTCATTTTCCTGTTATTTTGTGGACAAATCTACAATGACTAGTTGTTTTTGTTATAGTTATTTGCAATGTTATTAAACATGCCATGAGACCCAACTGATATGATAACTTAACTCTGAAGCATTTGAGTTAATTTGCTTGTTTAGACAGAAACATAAAATTTTAATAGTTGAGATAAGTACCTTTCCCTTCCAAGAAAAATCGAAGTTGCGATAATAGGGCTCCAATAGCGTTATCTGATCTCCTTCCTTGACCTGTGAGACAACATTTTTTTATATATACTTAACAATAGGAAGGAATATCACTAGAGTGTAATCATTCACCAAAGACTGAGTTAAATATCAGATGAAAACCTTTCAACTATAGCTCATTAGACTATAAAAGTGAACGAAAAAGAGGCAAAAAAGAAACAGTAGTTTTCCCTTTTTCCTGGCAAAAACATCGCTATCTTACCGTATCATTCCGCATACCATACAAAGATAAAACAAAGCATGTTTGGTTTGAATCACACACCAAATAATATCTGCGAAGTAAACAATGAAGTTACGTGAGACATCTTAGTAAGAGACACTAATGCCAGAATAGAGAAAATGATGCAACTTGTAGTGTAGAATATGAACAAATATTTTCCTGTTTTTTTTTCAAGGCCACAAGCCCGACTAAGAGTACACAAACACAGTGTAGACTACAAAATAAAATAAATTAATAAATAAAGTTCTGAGGAGAAGGGAAAAAAAATAGTGTCGCTGCTATAGTAGCCAAAACATGAGCACTAAAAAGTGACTGGATTAAATAGGTAAGATGGAAATCGGTCTCCGGGCGAACCAGATATGGAAACTCACAGTGGTGCAAGACTGTCGTGCTTGATGAAGAACAGCACCTTTCCAATTACGGCAACTGTTTTGTTCAGACCCTCTGACAGAAGATCTACCGTGGCTCTCTTGTATGAGGAATTCGCTTGAAAAGTTAAAACAAAATGTAACAATCAGTAAAAACTTCATTTAACAAGAGAGGAAAAAAAAAGACAAAATTTGATGATTAGCAAATTGCAAATGAATTCAGAAGATTGATATGCAAAAGGTCTGGTAACTTACAACTGACAATATCCACTGATGACGCCAATGATGTAACTCTTCGGGTTTTAGCATGTGCCTACAAGAAAATGATATGAAAACCATCGGTATGCTATGTTTTAGGAAATCATTAATTATGTTGTCTCCTTTGGGTTTTATAGATATGGTATGGCTACTGGCTTTTGTATACTTATTTTCCAATAATATGATGTTTCTCATAAAAAGAAAAAAAACATTTATCATTTTGTTTTTTTCATATTTTTCTAAAAAATGGAAGACGTAGTGATTGAGAAATACAATGCAAGCCTTGTATTTTTCAGATGGAAAAGAAAAATCATGCATGAACCTAATGAAAAACAGACTTTAATTCAAGGTCTCCTTTTCCCCTTCTTGGTTCACTCTTGGTAAGGATAGTAGGGAAGATGGATATGGTCTCCTTTTGGCCTGTGCTTACTCTAGCATCAGGTAGTGGTAGAGAATTTGCAACAGGTTTCATCTTCACATGTCTCTTCCTATCAATTAAAGACTTATACTTTGATGGGTCTGTCGAGTAAACGACTGAGGATCAATCAATCAAAGCAACTTTTGCTATTTAGTGGGAGCTTTGGATGGAATGAAATGGGCAAATCTTCCACAAGGAGAGGATCTTTGAGTTATCTTAGGTTGCATTTCTTTCTTTGTCTTTTGAA